GAATGCCGAAAAGCAAGCAATTCCTTCCGCGCAATTGAGCCGAAATCACCGGTTGTTTTTGCCTGGCAGTTCCGCCTGAGAAAGTCAAGATCACCCGCGAGCCGCAGAATCTGCACGCGGGCCAGGAGGGTCGTATCATTTGCGAATCGAGCAGCAGTAATCCAGCAGCGGAGATGTCGTGGTGGAAGGGTGGTATCCCGGTGCAGGGTACCAAAAATGGCACTAAGCCCGGCTTACACGGCGGATTTCTGTCGTTCGTGGAGCTCACGTTGGACGTGACGGAAGAAATGAACGGGGAGCTGTACACGTGTCAGGCGAGAAACAATCAAATGGACAGGTCTATTCACGACGCCACCACCCTCGACGTATTGTGTGAGTATTATACACGCGAGTGTATCAGAGACGAAAATCAACGAGACATCGGCACGGGTACCACACCGTGTGCAAATGAATATTTCATATTTCATGCTACGTGCGCGCATCGCGAAGCGTACGCGGTTTATGACACCCATGGAAAGAAAGTTGGAAATATTTCATAAAGTACCGTTACGGAATGCTTTACCGAGAAAGTTCAGATGAAAATGTCTAGGAATGACAATGGTAGAATTTTTGGGACGCGTCGATGGGTTCGTTGAGGAAACAGGGGAATGCGAACTCCTGGTATTATTAAAATCCCATTGTCACGAAGTTCGATGAGCGGAGAATTTGAAAATTTCTCTTTTCCTCGCAGACAAACCGATATTCTCCTCGATCGAGCCTTACGAATTAATCGGAATGGAGGGCGAGCCTTTCGTGATTTCCGTCTCAGCTATGGGAAACCCTAACGAGATAAGGTACACGTGGACAAGGGATGGTTTGCCCTTGGTGAGTAATAACAGGAGAATATCTGTCCGTGCTGCGACATTGAATATTACCAAGCTGGATCGTCACGATGCTGGAACTTATATCTGTGAGGCGACTAACGACGAAGGAACCACGTTCTACCAATTGAACTTGACCGTCCAGTGTAAGTACCCCTAATTAGAATCGTTGGTTCAAGGATTAGACTTTTGAGAACTTCCATGGAATCTGAATCTTAATCCTATGTGCTAAAATTTTCTGATTTCGCCAACCTAGAATTATGAAACTTCTTCATACTTCTAGAAGATGGTGAAGCTAAGATGTTCCTTAACGTTGAAATCATCATTATTTTTGCATGTGCTTTGTACGTGTTCCAGACTCGGCAAAGATTAAACGCACCTCGGCGTCCGGAATAGTGTATCCACCAAGAATCGAAGCAAAATTGTTCTGCGAGGTGGATGGTAGCCCCATAGGAGACGAGTACGTCACGTGGCAGAAAGTTGGCTCGAACTCGGAGCTCTCTGGCAGATATTCCACCTCTTTCATCAACAAAACCTCTTATCTGCACATCGAAAGCCCTGATCAGGAAGATGTCGGAGAATATCAGTGCAAAGTTAACAATGGAATCGGCAACGTTACCTCCGAACCCATCCTTTTCGTTACGAACTGTACGTACAACCTGTTCATCGATGTGACTATTTTTACCAGCGTATTCTTAACTAGTTGTCCTTCAAAACGAAATTATACGTTGTTACAGTCAAACCGCAAATGCTGAACACTCCATTGACGAGAAAGGCAGCAGCGAACAAGGGAATAAACGTGCAATTGTTCTGTAAAGCCAGAGGCTCGCCCCTGCCACGGTTTAGCTGGACATTCAATGGGAAAACCCTGTTGCCAAATGTTACTGAGCACAAATATAACATTTTGCACACTGACGTGAGTTTACAGTTAAACGTTTTATTCTATTCGTCATTGTTACATAGCTGAATGTCATATGTATAATTTGAAAGGTGAAGAAAAAGAACAAGAAATGTCCACTTAATGATTTTGGTAATAAGAGTTAGTACTACAACAGTTAAGACTACACATTTCCTTGTCTTATCTGCTAAATAAGAATCGAATCTTCAGGGTATAAATTGTACAGACAAATTCGTCGAATCTTCTTTCTTTACCGATGATCTCTGAAGTATGAGAAATTAATTTTGTCTAGAAAGCTTGTGACATTCCTTTTCATTTTTTCCCCTAAACCTTCATGTATAGTATCTTACAAGATAAATCAGTAGACTTATTTAAATTCTAATTAGCAATTAAGAGTGTCCAATACCTAGCCGCTAATCGAAATAAGGAGTAGAAAAATATGTAGAAGCGGATAATTCCAAAATTTCGAGCTTCCTCAAATTCCACGGAACCAAGTGTCCTTCCCTTTTGTCCAGTTTCCAAGCGTTTCGCACTGGAAACCACGAGGAAGCACGGAACGTTATTTACCCCGGCGAAAATTGATCGTTCCACCGTGTAATCTCGCCAAACGAACATGCCTGTGTTGGTCTTTTTGCAGCTAAGCGAATTAATTTCCGAGTCGACGCTGACCATTTTCCTCGTGACGTCGCACGATTACGGGAAATACGAGTGCCGAGCGATGAACAAAATGGGACAGTCGTCGGATATCATACACCTGGACGTGACGTCGCCGCCAGACAAGCCGAGCGACCTCGAGGTCTACAATGTCACCCACGACTCCGTCACCCTGATGTGGAAAAGAGGATTCGACGGTGGCTTGCCGACCTCCTATCAGATTCGTTGGCGAGAGGCTCTCGACTACGAGGATCGATATCACTATCTGGATGTATCGCCGGGAGAATATAAAACCACGATAACGGGACTGTCCCTCGGGACTTACTATGTGTTCAGCGTGAAAGCCATTAACGAGAAGGGGGACAGTGGCTTTCTCCCGGACCTGGTTAAAGTTCAGACGCTACGTAAGTATTTCCTCCTTCGATTCTTTCGAAGAAAGACCATTATAACGCTGTGTGCCGTAGTAGTTGCTTCTTTAGGGCAAACAAATTGCCATTTTAGATTTGAGACATTCTAACCCATGAGATCAGCTGAACCATGAACAGCTGAAACGATGGTTTCTGTTCACTAACAGTATTTAGATTTACATACCGTAGTATGATATGGTAGCTATGATTATTAGAAACGCGTTTCGTTGTCATAAGCAAGCTTCACCGGTCTACTTTTATTTGGTAAAATAAGAGTCGGTGAAGCTCGATGAGAAGCGAATTGTCTTTTCGAAGATATAACTTGGTTGAAGGGATCAGTAAGAATGTTGATGGGGCGCAGCTAATCTAATTTTAATACGAGTAGTCGGCTTAAGTAATAAATTAAGTATCGTTTCACTCGTGGAAATAATTGTGCGTTGCATCTAGCTCGACGTGCAGTTATTTACCATTTGACGTTGAAGATGCAGAACAAGTATTTGACATGGTGGAGGAAATATAATGTTGGTCCTTGCTTGCTTTATTAGTACCAGAACTACCGACCTGTAACATGTACTTAAATGTAGTACACACGAGTAATATTAATTAACGTGGTATGACGAAGATGGATAGGTATACACACGTTACCACCGAGATACTTTGTATGTCAGTAAAAGTCAACTTTGTCAACTGCACGCTTTCAACTGGAAGAACAAAAAGTCTGAGACCAGTGACAGCGACCTGTTTGGTGGTTCTAGTGCTAATCACCTTTCATTGTTTCATTATACCAATTATACTTCCTCTTCCAAATCAAATTCTCACTCCATCAAAAACGATTGCGCTTGTACGTTGAAACAAACCCAAGAAAGTCGAAACGCGATTCGTGGCTTGTATAACAAAAGACATCCGCATATCTCATTAAACTTCAATCATCGCATCCTGAATCTCTTTCTGCTGAAATGAAAAATCGGTGCCGCTTAACGAATCAACTTAACGACATCGGACGCGAGTCGTTGATTAACAGTATGACGTTGGAGTAGCGTTTATTCGCTTGTAGCTAAACGAGAAATATCGATTACCATAATTTGCAGTGTTTAACCGGCCAGCATCGTGTGACGTGAACTGATTAATAGCCGTGTATCTGTAGCGATGAAGTCTCGCATCGAAGAATTACCATTGCTGATGGACTTAGGCGTGCTAATTAAACGTCGCGGGCGCGCAGCAATCGTTTAATAATCGATCGATCGATGCTAAAATTGTAACTAACCATTGTGGACTGTGTCGTTGCATGAATAACAATTCGGTGATGGGGCGTTGGCTTGGCTTACAGGGGAGGCACCACCTACCGACGTGACATCCAGCGAGATTAATTCTTCCTACATCATCGTCATTATCATCACTGTTTCCGCCTCTGTTTGCCTACTCATTGCTGCGCCCATAGTCTTTGCTACATTAAAATCGAAAAAGAAGGCCCATCGTTCCGGTAAATATAATCACTCAGTCCTATATGCTCGTTTTTCTTCTTTTATCCTGCAGGACCGAATAACGCTGAGAACCTGCCGGACGTTCTCTTGGAAAAGGGGGATTTTACAATGAATTATATCTATACGTTTGCAGCAACCTCCCTCATCTTTTTTATCATTAATATCTCCATCATCGTGTTGTGGTACATTATGAGAAAGCGAAATAAATCTCGTAAGTTAATTTACGTACAGTGAATAATGATCCAGTTTTCTTTCTTCGTCTGAAAAACAGAAAGAAAAATATGTATATATTATTATCAATAAAAATATATAATATAAATATATCAAATAGCATTGTACAATACGATATATAATTTATACGTCATAAGATGTATAAATTTCTAAGATATTAATACATCGACGACCAAATACCCTCGAGAGTATACGTCTCGGGTACCTTTTGATTTTCAATCCGTTGCAGAAATGAAAGACGACTTTTCGCTTCGTTTCCAGTCGTCGATGTGTTATGATATTTGTATACAAATTAACGTAACGATATCTTAAACAGGCAAGTACATGGGAGTCTCGTATATTTCACAATACGTGTTTCTTCTTTGCGCAGGAATAAACAAATCGCAAACGGCGGATATGTACGCGCCATCAACCGTGAATGGAGACACCATGACCGGCGAATTAAGTTCGGTTTCGGACGAGAAGAGCGACGTTAACTTCGACACTAACGATTACGTGGTCAGTGCGATCAGTCAGTATGTTCTTAGTAACAAGTAATGCCGGAGGGTAGGTTTGAGTTCTATTAACACATTTCTGTTCCGTTTTGCTTCCGTTTGGACCCCCTTCGCTTCTGTTATTTCGTTTTGGTTTCTTCTCACGACGGACATCGTGCTTCGAATTTTCCAAATCTCTCCTCTCCCTCGGTACTTATATCGTTATTCCTATATCGCTGCTCCTATATTGCTAGTCCTATTTTTTTTTATTTTTTTTTCTTCCTTTTTTTTTGTTGGTATCTCACTTGACTTTGTTTCGCCATAAGAGAATCTCTCTTCGAAGCTTCACCAAGTAGCACACGCTCTTCTGACTGCAAGGTCTACCAATGATCGATTTTTAAGAGAATCTTACTTCGTTTCTTGCAGTTCCCCTATAATATAGGCAGGTTTCGGGGTGGATGTTTAGAGGTAGTTTCCGTGCACGTAAATACACCGAGAATTCTCGTAATGTATCAGAATGATAAAACGAATGTCAATACAGCGACGCAAAGTATCGCTTTAATGCATGCAAATCTGGTAACGTACTTACTCTTTCATGCTGATACGCTACGAACAGTGGGAACACGAAGTACCACGGAATTATTCAGTCGATGATTCATTTTGTTGTGTTTACTCATTGATAAATTCATAGACAAGTTGCAGGTTTTCCTCCAGTCTTAGGTACGTTAATTTAACGCCACGATTTCTCCCTATGTAATGCAACAGGACGAGGGACGAAAGACAGCAGCTAGCACGTATTTGATAGATCAAACTATGCAAGATTTTGGGAAAGGGAACATGGAAATGCAGGTACATCATCAAGGAACCCTTGGTCGTCGTGGCAACCACATTCAACCACCGATGAGCATGGATTCACCGCCACAGCGAACAACAGCCAGTGGGACACTTTCTGGTACATCCCTGAAACATCCACTAATAAGTCTCAGCCTGTTTTTCAAAGCTACAATTTTTTTTACATTAATGATAACAATTTCTAAGCCCACATATTCGTACAGCTCCTCAATCCCTCCTAATTACCCGAATAAACCAGCCTTGACTATTTACCTGAGCACTGATCCTTCAAATATTTCCACCGAAGGTACAAATTAACGCGGTTGCTCTTCATTGTAGTTTCGAAATCGAGTTACATCGGAAACCCCAGCCCAGCGCCGCCAAACGACGTGAATTTCTACAGCGTGGAGATCGACAATGGTCGTTATTTGGGATACGAGACGAATCACAGTCCAATTCCGGTGGTAGGTGATCCAGGTTCTGGCAGCTATTATCCATCCATGAGTCCAACCGGACATATGATGTCGAGTCACGTGAGCAGCGGGACAGGCACGCTAACACGCAGCAGAACCCTACCACGTCCGGTCCCGCCACCGGATGTAACCGTAATGACCGCAGGCTCAAAGTCACCGATACCACCGTCGGTACCACCACCACCTACTACATTTGCTCGGTCGGTATCTAGCAACGCGCACACCCACGGTCACCCGTTGTCGACCTTCACTCCCACGCCAGCCTATTCCGACATTGATGGCCATCTTGTCTGAGGATCGCCGATTTTCGGCCCCAGTTCGGTGCGTGGCAAGTATCGTGCCGTTCCGAGGGACGAGACTATCGTCGTAACAGAAAGAACCACCCGGCTCTAATGTACATCTCGATCTGTGGCTGTTGGCCTTGGAATTCCTTTGTGGATCTTTGGCCTTCATTCATCGTTTCCAGCGTAACACTGAGCTACATATATCGTTATATCGGTTTGATAATGAGGACGTGAATCGCAGGATTTTTGACGACGTTGTGCGATCATAATGAGTTTCGTGTGGGTGCACCGACGACCTTCTATACGTACTATCCTCCTTGAACACGAAAGAAAGTAACAGAAGTATGTAAATAGAGAGAAAGAGAGAGAGAGAGAGAAAGAAAGAGAGAAAGTGAGAGAGAAAAAGGAACCGATGTTGCGGTTTCTATACGTAATTTTTAAGAAGCACGCGGTAACGTCGTTGCAAATAGCAGTATGCATTCCTTACGCGCTGGTTTCGTTGGTTTTTCGCGGACATGATTATCAGTATGCATCTCGACTTGAATCGTATATGGATCGTATATGGATCGTATATGAATCGTATATGAATCGTATATTGATCGTACAATTACGTTTTTCGCATATCACGTGTTAAGAAGAACGATCGACGCCCGGTAAACAGCCCGCTGGAATCGACTCGGAAGATATCTTTGTGACGCCACAGTTACTATGCTATCAGTGGTTTCGTCGTTTAATTTTTCTTCATTTTTACTTTTTTTTTTTTTGGATGAGCTTTATTTGCGCTTATTCGTGCAGTTTTACTTGTTTGTGACGACTTCATAGTGGTACGAGGAAACATTTGTGGATCACATAATCCACCATGTGAACTAAATGGCAAACAACAAATTCGTGGACGGAAGAAACTCATCTGAAGATGCTCGTTGGACACACAGAGGTATTCTACGGACTATATTATCACGTTAAGTTACGTTTTAGTTGGTTCATACCATCAACTGATAAACTCATGCGATCCAATGGTAAATTAGATTACGTAAAATTAGGAGAAAGAGATATAATAATGAAACGAAATATCAGGGAAATTCGCGAACCATAACAATATATAATGTTTTTTAGATTCTTCTTTGAAGAATATGTTATATTTACAATATACTAATCAGTTTTGTTTTTATACTTTTTTAAAAAATTCGAAGGATAATAAGTGCCAGTTCTTTGTCTGTAAGATATCTTTCGATGGCGCTTTTGAAAGTAATCTCAATTTCAATCGATAATGTTATCGATGCCCTAACAGATGTCGCATTAGTCGCAACAATAAGAAATAGCAGTGCTACTCTCAGTATCATCGTGTAGCGACGTAATTCGTGTGATCTATTTATTTTCTTTTCATTTGCATTTATGAATACGTACGACCGTCCATGATTTCGTTTTGAAGTTAGTTCACAAAATATTGGTGCATTGGCGGACACATTCTTGTTTGAAATTCTGAAGAGGAAGCGAGACAATCGTTTTACACAAGGAAACAGTTGACAACGTTTATAATCAGTATGTAGTATCCAACTGATTTCCTTCTTCCCTTCCCCTCTTGCTCATCACAAGACGCGTTCTCTGTATCAGATTGAACGGTTCTTATTTGAAAAGAAAGGTAATACGTGCGATAAGCAGACAGCTACTTGTTACGAGAAGTGATCTATTATTGACAGTCGATGGGTCGAATGACGTACGAAGAACGAGAACTCAGAGAGTTCAGTAGGTACTAAAGTAGTAAGAGACGTTTAAATAAGAGAATTCTAATACAGCGCACGAGATGTAAAAGTGATTTCGCTTTGGCCTTCTCGAGCTTACTATACTTTGGCAGATCGATATGTTCGATACATTAGAGACGCGATTCTCACGTTTTTTTAAACCTCTTTTTTGGTTAAGAGGGTGGTATAAACGTGCTTTCTATGAAACTCAATTTCACAAAGATAGACTCGACTCGAAATTCATGAGAACTGTTTCTTTCTCTTCACGAGCATTGCTTTTTGTATATTATACATAAATGTATACATACGTAGATGCGAACGTGTTTGCATTTGCACGTCGTAAATTTTTCGAACGTCTATCCTTTTCTCCCTTTGATTTATGATATATAATTATTCCCTTTTTACGACAGTTATCAATTTTTTTACTTTTTTTTAAACGGTGAATTTGAACATCCGTAAAAGTTATAATTTTTCACTGCCAAATCTTAAAGTCAATACTAATACGAATAGTTTAATTGATTGCATTGTGTCGTGAAACGCATTTATATGGACGCTAGGTTATACGCCATTAATGTTACGTGAATTGACGCAAAGCAAAATGGCGAATACAATGAAACATTTAACGTGTTAATTATATTTCATGCATTCGGTGAAAAAGTTTCCCGTTCATTACTGAAATAATTGATATTTCGTTCAAAGAGATTTGGTTATCAAGCTCGATACGTTATAATTATGCTGCATAAATACGAACGAATAACAAGAATATCTATAGGGTAAACAGTTTTCACGTGATACCGGATGAGTGCTGATTTTGTTTTCTACCTTTTGTGTACAGTTTTATTGCTTTGGTTAACAAAATCGGCACGCTTGTAGCAAATATATGATTGTTAACGATTTATTATTACGCGGTACAGTCAGTGGTATTTGTGACTGAATTTACAAAAAATATGCCAAATATTTACAAATATTGTCAATTGCCGATTAACGATGATATTTGTAAAAATAGTTAGTAAGTAACATTTTTTTAACTACGATATGGCAATATGACTTCACTGCCTAATTTTTATTTCTGTACCGCGAATACGAAACTTTTTCATACTTAATTAATATAGGAGTTATCATCACGTGAGAACGGTTAACTTGTTAATTAACAAAAGGAAAGAAAGACAGTCGCTATACAGATTTTCTCAAGACGGCAATAGCTTCAAGCCACCTACGTGTATATTCTACCCAAGTAAAGAAATATAATATCGCAACGAAATAATACGATATTAATAAAAGAATCACAGCAAAATGCAAAAAAATGTAATCAACATAATCAGTGAAATCTATATACAACAGAAATTAAAAAGAAAAAAAAAGTAGGAAGGAGAGACAGACAGATAGAAAAGAAAAGAAGTAAAAGTGAGTGTCTTGGAGTAGTGATATCTTCAAAAAAGACAATAGTACATAAGTTTAATTATACGAGTATGAGTTTAGTTAAGAGTAAACTATTTCTCTGGCACAGCCAAGTTAGAAGTTGCATTTTTGCATAAAAGGGGTCTTTATGCAAAACGATAAGACAGAAAACGTAGTTCAACTAAATGTTTATACATATATATTTTTGCATTTATTTCCATTAAAAATTGATTATCCTTGTAAATAGTGCGATATGTCTCAGCGTTTCACACACTCCAGAAAAAACAAGTAATTAAAGAAAATGGATCATATGAGGGTCTCACTTTACCTAAGCTATAATGAAATATTGTATAGAGTTATTACGCGCTAGGCCACGTATTATATCTGAGAGAAAAGAAGAAAAGAAAAAAAAAGAATTATTCCAGTTATCGGACGAGACAACGTCTTTCCGTTTATCGAAAGCCTAAGTAGTCGACATATATTTTTGAAAAGAAAGAAAAAAAAGAGATACAAAAAGACACCGCATATGTTTGGCCTATTGTAAGGGAGAGTCTCGCGAACACACGATGACGCATAGAGCGCTACGAGCGACGAAAGCTTGTACTAAGAATCGATCGATAAGGTGTAAGTTTCGTTCAATTCTCATCAAGGATCGTTACGATCGATACGCGCCCAATCGGAATTTCTTCCAATGAATTCGACACCGAGACAACAAGAACAGGAAAAGAAATAAAAAGAACAAGTCGATGTTCGCTGTTATATATGATCATCGAGACATTACGTTGAGAAATCTACGCACGTCCCCGGTAACTGTCATTCCGCTTCTAATTTGGCTCGCGTATCGTATGGATGTAAGTTAAGGAATACGTAATAAGTAAGATTGCTCCAAAGGTACAGAAAAATGCAGTATCACTCGCATATCTACAAACAGATGCATACAGAAATACGCGTAAAAATAAAATTCGCGTTGAATGTTAAACGATTCGCAAGTGATACGAGAATCGCTGCGTAAACATGTATGTTCCGAGCAATCGTACTTATCATCGAAGCTCGAAAGAGTCGAGCGTGAACGATAGTATCGATGATCGATTCAATCCTACGCTATTTTCACTTTCCATTCTGTCACGATGATCAGTCGAGCTACCGATTCGCGCGAGACTCGTTCGAGTCTTCTCTGTCTCTGTAGGGTATCCTGGAATACACGCGTAACAGAGGGGAAAACGAAAGAATGAACTTGCACAGGCGGTAAAAGGAAAGAGAAAGGAACCGGAAGGGTGTCGTTCACAGAATCGATATTGTATACTTTTCCGCGCCGTTGTCATGTGTGTTTTATGCTTGAGAACTGTTTGAAAGTTTTACGAATATAACGTTTTCGTAGCATGCGCTATTGTTATTTCATTAATCGAGGAGGACACTGATTTGTTACGGTAGATTCTACAAAGCTTAAAAAGAAACGTGTATTGTTAACCGCTGCTGTTGTGTATGGAGCCGCACCGTTCGGCTTAGACTGATGATAAAATTCACGTATGCTCAATTAGAGATCATGTTTGCGCATAATTAAGAATTCTATTTACATATACATGTTTTATATTTGTAATTAACGAAAATCATCTATACTTAATATTACCTGATATTATTAGATTATGTAATCTCCAAAGTATTTGCTCATCAAAGTGCTAGGCATGTTAGACGGACCGATATTCGTCCAAAATGGTACCTTGGAGATGGACATACCATCTAACAGTACGATATTTGATATTTTACACAATAATTAATAATTCCGTTGATTATTCTAAGACATAGTCAATCCTAATTATACAATCATTAAGATACGAGGATATATATAAATTAACCGTTTTACGTGTATATAATGTACATATACGAAACTTAGATAGACAAGAAGAAAAAAAAAAAACAAAAAAGAAATGAAATGCATAACGAATTAATATCAAATTTAAGGAAACGATCGAGAGCTTTCGTAACTAGGTAAATGTTCGTATCAACTTTTGATGTTTTTTCTTCGTATTCGTTTTTTCTATTCTTTCCTCTTTTAAAAAAACGACAGAAAAAAACGAATATAAAAGAAAGAAAAATGATTCTCTCGCCGACGATACTACTGCGATTATGCATGTCGTTCCATTTTGTATGAGGGCGCTGCGCAACAACGACACGAAGTTGCGACGAAACTTGCGAGTTTACAATAAATCGCCGAAAGTGACGTAACGAATTTTACCGTAACGAACTTATCCGTTCCAAATTTCCACACAAGAGGCGAAGACTGGTTATAAATACACGAGCCATTTTGTCATTTTTTAATGCTGTTCGAACGACTCGATTTTATATTCGATTTCGATTTCGATTTCGCGTTCGATTTCGATTTCTTATTCGTTAAAACGAAACACGGAAACCTTCACTTATGATAGTCTTGAATCTCGATAAACGAATATTGCGTTTCATTATAAACCGAGACAGGCGAGAAATCTCGCTCTCTGAAATAGAAAAACGAGCGATCGCTTTGAGAACCTTCGGAAAGTAATCGATTTTTAAACGAGTAATTACAGTATTCGATAGCTGTCAAATGACTAGTAAAATTAGCGGTTAAATTTTTTCAATATTCGATCGAAATTTCTTTAAAATTTTACTTCGTTGCAATGGGAAGATCGATGCAAAATTTCTTTGAAACACATAATCGATAAAAACGATGAAATAATTGATAAAATTTGAGAATCTCAAAGCAGATTTCTTGCACGTCGAATAAAGAGAAATGACAATTTATCGCGTATATCGAGCGATACTGATAAACGATATATCGTAAATCGTTAAGCGTATCATCAGATATATGTTGCTTCCGTTTGTGTGCCAATAAAGAAAAATTGACATTCTTGATGTATAAATATATGAAACTTAATGAGAACGATATTATTGTTACGCGGGCCGCCGTTACGGCTAATTTTTTCTGATCAGAATTTACAATGCAATGTAATTCTTTGGAGCAATCATCGCTGTTCATAAGTACAACCGACAAAAATTACCGAAAAGAGAGAAAGGAACTCTCCGATGCATGAAAAAGCAAAAAAAGAATAAGGAAGAAACAAACGAGGAGAAAAAAAAAACCGTGTAATATAAACTAAGCTACCGAGCAACTGGTATGCATTAATTACTTGTATATATACATAGTATTTTTACATTCTAATTCTAAATTACATTTCCAATTCTAAATGGTATAACATTACTCTGTGAGCTTCGCTTGTCGTCTGTGTAAACCGTCGGTAACGTTTCTGACGTTCGTTCGCCTTAAAGAAAAGTGGAAAAGTGGAAAAGTGTTTCTATCGGAAACAGCGAACGCGGCGATGCTCGGCAAATATTGTCCTTTTTCTTGTGCTTGTTTCATTGCACTCTCTGCACAAGATTCAATAACACACGCCTCGTGCCTTCATCGCACTTAAATTAACTAGAATGTGTAAGGTTATGGTCGTGCGTGTAGTGTTCTAAACGTGACTATTCGCGGCAAATATCGTTCGTTATCTCGTGGCAGACTTTTGAAACGCATTCTGCGATTCTATCGTGATCGCATTATCTTGTACAGAGCACGTCTGTGTGTAACATTGAACGATCACGCTGTAAAGTGACATTTCGTTTAACGTAAAGTGTTTGAGGTTATCTACGTTGCGCGCCCTCGCGAATATTTTCGTGCCAGTGCATCTCACGTGACCATAAACCAGTTAGGATGACAAGGAGAATACTTCATTGTGTACGTGTACGTCGTGTTACGATGTATTCGACGTTTATACGCGTAATTTAACTTCTACTTAAACTATGCTCATGGCAGATGTGATCGTATCTCCCCGAATATAATGTCACGACGTATAAAAGTGAAGAGAACAACGCTCACGAATGTATTCGATAATATTCGCGTGCATCTTTAGTCGTTAACGTAACACGATGACATCGCCCCGTATGGCTTAACGTTGTTGAGTTTTTGTTTCTATGAAAAGGAACTTCGCCAGAACTCGTCGTATCGAATCATTTTTGCTGTTCGTTTTTACACATAGAGACAGAGCGAAGCTCAACATACTAGTCCTTACTTTAAAACCAAAGTAAAGAGAAAACAACATTGTGTAGCTTTTAAGAATCTCCATTACGTATTCACACCTGTGTGTCTATACAGAAGACATAATTATAATTAAATAATTCAATCATCGTAAATTAGGTAAATGACTAACCGATAAGCGAATAGATAAAGAAGAAAATACAATGGATAAGCCACTCGTTAAGTGTACCGTTTTATTTTAATTCATTTTTTACTACACGATTAACATTTTATCTAGCAACTTTCGTCGGCTAGGAATGTAAATTCTGTATCTGTACATTGTTTTCCTATTTCAACTATTAAAAGTGATCGTCAACTTAAATATTGTGTCGTTTTTCTTTATTACATTGCAAACATCCATATCCACTTTGCTAATCATATCCCATTGTATATTTGCGTCACTCTGGCTTACCTCTTTCGCTACTGTGGACACCTAAAGGCGCTTAGAAATCTTGCGCTTGTGACATTGTGGGCGCTTAAAGACGCTCAAAGATTCTTTTCGCTGTTAAATTGTAAGTATGAACAGTAATAATTTAATGGAGAATACAAAGAAATAAATAACGTTGTTTTAATGTAGTGGAATATAGTGTTTCGATTATTATTCGAATATACAATAATTTCGCAGAAATGCACATCTAAGGAAAAATTTCTCAATGTACATCGCAAATGAATTCCTACCATATAGCATGGCTGGTGCGTTTTAAAGTCTACAGGAATCAAAGGGTTAAAAGATACTGGATAGATTGTATATAAAAAATCAACATAACATCACATTTTGTTTTAACTACTCATTACGAAATGACAATTCACATTCTAAAACTTATTCTAGAATATAACTACATACTTAAATAGGTACAACGATTAAGTAAATGTAAAAGAATTTGCAATTCTTTGAAAAATCAACATAATTCGAAAAGTTCCTTCTACCAATGGTAATTTTTCTGATTTTGAAGCTATAGCTAGAAATATATTCGATCTGTACGTAGAATTGTTTCAAGAAATGACATGCCATTGCAAAACATTCTTATTCTAATTACGTGAAACTTGTTTGCAATACAACTCGAACAATGCTGTCATAATTACTGTCGTTAGTAATGCTGAATTTACTGTTAACAAGATCAACGTAGATGGAACATCAACACGCGACGATAGGTACGAATTTCGTTCGAAGAGCGTATGTTGGTCTCAATACGATATCCGAATTCATCGAGACATCCTTAAGATAATCTACTGGTTCAAGGGAGAAATTATGTAAAAGAAGAGCTAACGTTGTTTTCAATTCCAACATGGCGAATCGTTGTCCTACGAATTAAAAATTAATTACTCAATCTGAGCTAATTATCAAACCTTGATATATTAATATTAAGTATTCAATTTAAAATCGAAGATGTCTAAAATTTGGTCTTTTTTTTAATTATTAATTCTCAATTATATATTAAATTTAAAAAAAAATTAATAATAAAGATAGACAATTGCCTGCAGGAATTTTTATAATTTTTATATAACAGAAACTTTTATCATTTTTTTATAAAACTTTTATGAATCTTTTGTAAATTCGTAAGAAATACTGGAGATTAAGATGTAAGATATAATGGAAAATCGCGTTTTAAATACTCAAACTTGAAATTCTTACCAATGCAATTCCTTGGGCCGGCGCTGAAAGGTATATAAGCATAAGGATGTCGTCCCTGGGAATTTTCGGGTAAAAACCTGTCCGGATCAAAAACGTCTGGGTTCGTCCAGAACTGTGGATCTCTATGAGCGTCGATTATATGCACGTGGACTATAGTATTTGCAGGTACCACGTAATTACCTGAAAACCATTTTTACCACGCTAGCTTATGACTATTAAAAATAAATAAACAAATGAAAACTCTGACGTATAACTAAATAAAAATGATGCACATTTAATTATTCTTTAATTTCAACGATGTGTCAAGTCGAATGATGTTTATCGCTTACTTAATTTCACATCCGTTTCCGGTGCACGTGATATGGAAGGCACACTGGGATAAAGCCGAAGGGACTCCTTGATACATCTCTCGAGGTACGAAAGATTTTGAAGCGCAGATGTATTTAATTTCCCTTTATTTTCTTCCATCACAGCTTTTATCTCAACTCTCGCTCGATCCTGTAAAATAATCACTATATCAATAATAATAATAATAATAATGAGATAAAGCAGGCTCTGCTTAATTTAACGAAGTTTTCCCAATTTTATTTTATTTTCATAATCAGCGACAAGGTTGACACGAAGGATTAAAAGTCACCTGAATTTCCTTGTGTTCGGCAAGAAGCATTATAGTGAAGCAAATAGATACCGCCGTAGTGTCGTGCCCCTATTGGAAAAGAATTCCCGAATTTTATTACTTATCAAAGATCAACTGCATTCTTACGTAGGAATCAAGAATAACATTGATAACGAACCCTAAACACGAATGTGTCGACCTCTTCTCTAATGCCTTCATCGTCTATCTGATTATTTCGATGAGCTGCTATCAGCAGGTCGAGCATGGCGAGCCTTTTCTTACGAACTATGTACAAACAACAAACATTTTACGGGTTATCGTTCGATGAGTGTGTTTAAATATATTTTTTACGCCATCACTTGGAGCATAGTTAATACCAGATAAATATCGACCATTGGTCTGATCGTGATATTCTTTTCGCTCTTGGATAATCTTGAAGGTATCGTTATTATTATTATCATATAAATCAAATTACTCAGCGTTAAATTAAATCGAGCATGCAGACATAACATAGCGATAATTTTTTAAGACGGTGATAAGATAATTCCGCATGATATTGACATGACACTGATTTATTCCAGTCATTCATTAATCGATGAATTATTTGTAACGAAAATCTATAATATAATTGCAATGATGTTAGAAGTTACATATCTACCTTCCTACTGAATCCATGCAATATTTTAAGTAACTTAGACTGTCGCCATCCTTGAGGACAAAGATTAAAAATGAAATTATAGCAGAACCACGGTCTTACGAACCTATAGAAACCAATAGACTGATGTGTATTATATATAGTATAATGTAAAAGTCCTCGAACAAAAGTGATTTACCTGTATATAAAAATAGTTCCCATATCGTTCACGGCTTTGCGATACTTGTATTGAAAACTTCCCTTATCCTTCAGCGAAGTCCCCATTGCGGTTTCTACAAATGACCCAAAGATTGCCTTTCTTAATTTAACCCTCAATTACTGTCACGGAGTTTCACTAACTTTGCGTGATAAATTTTTCCTCGTAATTGGTATCTTTTCATTAATTCGTAGAAATTATATTTGTATCCATATAAAAACTAACGTGATATTAATTTTTTAAAATCAACTTGAAAATGTACTTAATATTCTTACGAATGTCTACAAAGCTAATGTCAATAATTAAGTATTAAAAATCCTTCGTTTAAAAACTCTTAAAAAGATTATTTAACCGTTTAATTTCCTTTAATATTTGTAATTATTATAACAATGTTTATGTTTATAATTATTTCGTACATTTATCGAAATGCATCGACATTATAATTCTATAAAGTATCATAACGTGTATCGCTGTTTACCGCATATCACGTTCAATGTGTGCTCGCTAATGAAAGGCAACAGATCTTTCACAACAGCTCCCTCTTCGCTCTTCAATTTTTCAATCAAGTGTTGCCCTTCCTCATTGAATATATCAACAAATTCTTGAAGCAAATTGAAATGGAAGGCAGGCGTCAATATCTTCCTCCGGGTGTGCCATTTGCGACCTTCAAATCGTGAAGTAATAATGGAACATTTTTCGTGACAATCTGTTCTTCTTCTCTTTTCTTGTTTCAAATCTCATTGATTGGTGCTCGCTTTGTCAACGACACGTTAACCTTCCTTCTGATTATAGTTATCTAACTGCATTATTTACGCTTGACATTTGAAACTCGGTAAACAAATGAAATGAATTGAACGCAATCCGAGAGGATTATTACACGAGAAATGATAAAAGGATATGAGAAATTAATAAAGGAAAGTAATACCTGAGCCAGTTAGAAGTCCAGTATTAAACCAAGGCTCCAGAATTGTATATATGTGACTCTTTTTAGTGAGTTTCGAATTTCCGAGAAGTGTCTAAACATCGTGAGAAAAGAAGAATAATTCTCAAGCATTAAAACGTGGCTTTCTTACTCGCAAGCTATCGAACAATTGATAGCTTCCCACATGTCTACTAGCATTATTAAAATTCACTTAAAGTTGCACAGCTTTTAGCATATTTTGCATAATTTTAATTATAATAGCAAAATAAAACGTGCATTTATTCAGATATTAGAGAAGATGTAGTCAAAGTTTACTATTCTCGGCAATTATACCTCAATATCATCCGGATGGCGAATATTAAGAAATGCAGTCGTAAAACTCCAAAGTCTATAAATGGGATAATACTGAGTGCCCATTTTCCGCATGAGCGTCCAAAGATCGCCTGTAATGGTGAAGATGATTGAAATATGTCATTGTTGGTCTATCATTTCATACATATTTATTACCGAAGTTAAATAAAATCGTTAAATGTTAAAAGATTAAAATGAATTTCAGGAAAGGCAAGCTTTTTCTTCTCACTTGATGAAATTTGGAAACTATGCATGTTCCCGATGATCGGTATTGCTTGAGGTCCTGGTATGCAATTTATTATCCTTCCGAATTTTCTATAATGCAGTATGAAGAAGTGTAGAATGGTCAGGACAAATGCGAAGAACAATATCGTGGTGATCATTTTCGTGGTACTTCGCCAAATCCTCGGTCAAATTTTGTACGATCTTTATACACTCTTCTTCTCGTGCTAATTGCTAACAAGTGATGTTCTATTTTAATCGTTCTTAGCCATTATTACTTATAAATTAAGTATAAATTTATAATATTATAAATTTACCTCTGTCCGGTAAATTTAAATACGATTTATGTTAAAAATATTATGGACTCATTCGTAAGATTATAAAGCAAGTTTAAATATAAATATCGCTGACTATGCGCGAAATTTAATTTAAAGAATATATAAGTGATATTTCAACGACCCATGTGACTATTAAAGCAAACAAAAATGCTTGATATGCAAAATAAAGATCAGGACAACGAAGTTCGTTAAGTTTTATTGCAATAATCGTTATAATTCATCTAGCTGAACTTCGTGAGTTCGTTTGTTTGGATTTAGTATATTACCATTTAATAAATCGATTTTCACACAATATTAAAACTAATACTATTTAAAGAATCGTTCAAAATCAAATATTTATCTTTGTCACCCTCTTGTATAATTTAAAATTATAATTGCCAGGAGATTCGCTATGCCTCTGGCTATTAACTGTACCTCCATACTGCTGTTTTTAAATAATTCATATCTTTGGGCCCAAAGAATAGATTGTTCTCCTTTTCTATCGTGTAATGTCTCAACTTCAGCCGCTAAGTGAAGCAAAAGTCAAAAAATTGATATAAATGAACTTACTACGCTTTTCTCATTTGTCAAATGCTAAATAATTAATATATCATTAGTATATCACCATAATCAATTCATAGAGATCCTAATTTTTCAAATAATACACCTTCTTACCCTAATACTTGAAGTATTATACTATAGTATTATTACTACTATTAATGCTTGAAGTTTTTATACTACTCAAATATTTGAGTAGTATAAAAATGGATAAAAAATATTTCAGAACGAATAATTATTAACAAAAGTTTGATACAACTCCATTTCTATTTAAACCTACACCGGAATCGATTTTTCTCAATGAATCGAGACCGCATTGATCAATCACTCACCCTTTCTCGCCGATAAGAACACGATAAAATCCCATTCAAATCCAGCACACTTGTAATTTTGCACGTAGCAAGTAAGGATTCAGACTACGAGAACCGCTCATCACCTACTGAAATGCAAATAAATGCTCGTGAAGATAATATGCATCCGTTCCCACTATGCTGCATCCAGCACAATACGCGATATTAAATTCACTGTGTGCCACTAATTTTTAATGAATTCAAATTTAGACCACGATATAAATTGAATATTATGCGTTAAAAGCAGATAAGAAAATATGCAAAATCACACAGAATGTTTACTTTAATGAAGATAATCACAGCCAAATTCACTACTGTATCTCTGGATTCTAGATTGCAACTAAATTGACCCTAATACACGTTGTTCGGTTCCCCTTCCTATTATATATTTGCATCCAAACGAAAGTGTTTTTGTGATTGCAAATAAAATTTTGTAAAATGAAATAGTATGTTTTATACGCATTAAAGTTAGTTAACTCCAATTGTAGTTAGTTAACTCCAGTAGCCACCGGGTCTTTTTAAGCAACCACAGATAAAACGTCCATGATAAGTCAGTCTGGCTGTTTTCAACTATTTATCATAAAACTTGTTGTTCTCATGAAAAGTTGATAATATAGCATTTCGATGATTCATATTACAGAGAAAGGAATAGGGTAATGCAATTATTTTCATTGCATTTTAATTAGGTCGGTAAAGAAGATTAAAATAAGAAAAAATTTTGTTACAAAATTTGTGACAATCAATGTTATTAATCTTAACAATCAACAACAATTTGATCTTTACTCTTCTTAAGAAATTATATATTTGTTAGTTTAAGCTATATGATATTATATTAGAAGCTTTTCCAAATTATTCATAAAAATTCAATTATCTAATAATATTAAAAATGATGAATATTTTTAATAAGTTCGATTGAAATTGGCGCTCAGGGAGATTCTTCCTACTTCCATAAAACATTAGCGCCCCAGTGTTGATAAACGAAAGTTTTCGTACTAATATAAATGCAAGTTCCTTTCCCTTTTCCGGAAGTGACTCAAAAGTAAATGGTATTATTTTAAGTTAGCATTAAACTTGTACTGCCTTTAAAAATCATCAATCTTATTTCAAAATAGAAAGAAGAATATAATATATTATCAAGGAGTTGTGATAATAGAGTTTAAATATAATAGAATTCGAAGTCATATGAAAATTATCGTATCATACACGTAATTTATATACACTTTAATAATTTTGCGTAAATTTTACAATCTTCAAATCATTGTATTTTACGTAATTTTTTATATATAATTCAGAAGTATAATTCAGAAGTTAATGAGATAATGCAATTTCGCATTTTATGTTGGGAGCGGTACTAATAGCTTCAAGACAATGCAAATCTTTATTAGTTTTTTTTCTAACAATATTCATAAATCATTAAGTAGTAATTTTATAATTAAAATATACTTAAAGATTTCTTAAATATAAAGTACAAGAAAATATTGTTTTTGAATTACGCGCTTAGATATACATGTAGTCGGTAAATTATATGGTAGAATATGTATTGCGTCGCTTTCTATTTAGTATATTATGATTCATGAACTTGGTGATGAAATAATTTTCAGTGTATCGTTTGTTCATATCTTCGCTCGTACGACTTAGATACTACAAAAAGGAATGATTATTTTAAATTCTATAATAATATAAGTACATTTTTAGTCTTTACTTTAGGCTAGAAGTTGGTGTGCGTGGCCAATTTTGCCAACTATTTCCGGAATAATAAGTTGCCTTGAGGTGACGTTTGCTATTATTGTCTGTAAGGTGTGTTAACGGCATCGTAAACGTCGTCATATTTCCAAGACATAAAATATAGTTTTTCTATACGAACTATCGTATCATTTAAGAAAATAAAATAATTCTTGATATCATTAAAATTTTTCTAAGATTAAAGATACTAGTTTAAATACTTCATACCAGTTCAGTGTCTTCCCAAACAAAATGGGCCTAACAATTAGTGGTCTACTCACCCGGCTCTTTGGTAAAAAGCAAATGAGAATATTAATGGTGGGTTTGGATGCTGCTGGAAAAACTACCATATTGTATAAATTGAAACTTGGTGAAATTGTTACCACAATACCTACCATTGGCTTCAACGTTGAAACTGTTGAATACAGAAATATATGTTTTACGGTGTGGGATGTTGGTGGTCAGGATAAAATCAGACCATTGTGGAGACATTACTTCCAAAACACACAGGGCCTCATTTATGTTGTTGACAGTAATGACCGAGAACGTATTGGAGAGGCAGAACGTGAATTGGCAAACATGTTAAAAGAAGATGAATTACGAGATGCAGTTCTCTTAGTTTTTGCTAATAAACAAGATTTGCCAAATGCTATGTCTGCTGCAGATCTTACAGATAAATTGGGCCTGAATTCGTTACGTGGACGCCATTGGTACATACAAAGCACTTGTGCTACTCAAGGACATGGACTTTATGAAGGACTTGATTGGTTGAGTACTGAACTAGCTAAAAAGTGATAAAACACTGTCGTTATTCATAATCTTCATGAACAATTTATTCATTGAGCATGGACGTAGAAGACAGGTTGCAATTTTCATTTTGTCAGATTACGCACTATGTGTATAATTTAATACCACTGTGATTGTAATTTTTAAGAGGAAAACTACTTGAAATAATAGAATATATCTTGACCAACTCAATGGATATAAATACTAAAACAGGTTTTATATTCAAAGTGAAATTTTTCTTTTAATGAAAACTATAAATTAGAGTGTATAAATTTATTAGTTACATATTATTTGTACGCTACTCATTATCCTAATTAATAGAATTGTGAATTTACGTAAAAAGTGTATCTTGAGTTTGAAATAAATATGAAATATTTCTACATTAATTTTAATATGTATATTGTTTTTATTTGAGAAAGAAAGTTCTACATATGTAATTAAACAAATTATACAAATAATTTCTATTATAAAGAACACCAAAAAGAAAAGTGAATTTTTGTATTTTTATGCACTTTGCTCTGCGTCTATGCAGTGAATTAAAAATGATATATATACTAACATACAGTTTCTATTATCCTCTTTTTTCAATAAATAATCAATTACAGAATGAATAATACTAACAGTAAGTAATAGGATTAAATATTTAAAATGTCTACCTTTTTTCCTCATTCATAATTTTATAATTTCTTTTATAAATATATAATATTTGTATTGTAAAGTATCAGTTATAAATTAAGGAAAAAATTTAGAAATAAAAGTATAAGTTGTAAATTTATAATTGTGTTCTATCATCTTTTGTAACAAATTATAATTTTATACTTTACAAGAAAGGAAGATATAATAGAACAGCATGTTTTGTAATATTCTTCTTTAACTCAATGTAATAACTTTATTATTATAGTACAAAACAGTACATTATCATACATGCACTGTATAATATATATAACGTATCAAATAATTTGTTAATATGCAGTGTTACTTTTATGCTTCATAAAATTTTATTTCATTTCTACTCCATAAAAGATAATGAATAAATTACAGAAATATGTTTCCTACTTATGAGTAATATATACACAGTAGTTTTAACATATGACAGAATAGAGCATTGATTAAAACATTTTAGTTTAAGATTTATGTATGAATATCTTATTTTGAATGCGTCACAAATGTTAAATTGTTTAAATTAATTTACATAAAATTTGTTATTATACACAGAATTATTGACTTTGTTTGCTATATGCATTTCATAAAATTATTAGTGCATACAACAAATTTTCTTTATTTTAGGCAGCAATCACACAGGTCATTGAACAAGTACCAAGTACAACATGGTAATTAATTTGTTCAAACTAATCTTTTAATATTAGGAGCTGACACTTGGAATATGTTTTACCAGTAGCTTCAAATTATGATTATCTTACACTGATGCCATTCATAAAAATAATTTGTTCAGCAGTTCCTTTATTTATAGCTTACAGAACCTTGGCAAAATTTGTAAGTTAATTAAAGGAACACTACCATACTCATTTACGTACCCAAGAATTTTTTTGAGGCTGGGCACTATTTTTACCCAATGCTGGAAAATGATTTTCTAATGTATGACTAGTCATGTGTGTTCGAAAATCAGAACCATTTTTCAAAACTTGGCCACAAGTTGCACAAATTTCTAAGCCTTTAAGTTTATTGCCACTCTCCCTTTTATGGATTTTAAATAATTCCTGCTGTTTTTCGATATCTGGCAAGAGAACTAAAAGCTCTGGAAATACATTCTCGAAAGCGCTGAGACCCATAACTTCGCGACAGTGCGTGTAATAATCTTGAGCGTTACGCGTTCCTTGACGGAATAATCCACTTATATACCGAAATTCCTCGATCTGATCATGTTGCATCAGAACTTCATTAACTTTGGCCACGAGACATTTGTTCCGTTTTTGAAATTCTGGAGGAGGTACATAGTTGTATGCACTATTGTGCTTACTATTGTCTGGCAAGATAGAGTAACTCTCTCCAGAACTATTTGTGAAAGTTAATCCATTACTGTTGTTCAGTTTATCCATGCTATTGTATTTTATACAAAATCCAGGAGGTGGAGGAGTTGTTCCAAATCCAGGTGGTGGATTTGTGAAACCTGAAGGTTTGGAACTGGTGCTACTTAAAGCTGGAAATTCTTCTAATTGACGGACATTTCTATTAGTAGAATTTAAGCTATCTATTTTTAATTCAGTGCGTTTTCGCTGTACTCCAATAGAAGAATTATTATCAGAATCTGTATTTATATTTGTTTCATTGTCTATATTTTTATGTTTTTTCTTTTCCTTTCTATTAATTAGTTCCAATTCCTTTAGAGGCTGAACATTTATATTCTTAGATGTATTTTCACTGTTATTAATGTTATCTGCATTTTGCATAGACTGAGAACTTGACTGTACAGCATCCACGCTATTCGTATTAGATACATTTCTTGGTGTCTCACATTCTTTTTTTACTACCACAGTACTTACATTCGTTTTTGTACTACTATCATTTCCGTTAGCAATATTATTATTACAATTTTGTTTCACTTTTTTCTTTTTCGTTTTTCCTTTTGTTATATCAGTAGTTGTTTTTATATTATTATTGTTATTAGAACTCTGTGGTTGACCCCAAGAAGGAACCACTGTAATTGTTGATTGTTTCTTCGATTTTGATGACTTTGACAATGTAGGAAAATCTTCCCCAGATTGAATAGGTGGTGGGGAGGGTACTAATGGCGGTGAGGCCACTTTTTTAGGTTTTGGTACTGATGTGGATGCTGACTTAGAACAAGTCCATTGTAAAACTTCCTTCCAATGAGCTGAATTTGTATTACTACTAGTTGATGGTTCTACAGTACCTAATGCAGGAAATGATTCCATGGAAAGCTGAGCAGGACGAATTCTGATATTAGGACCTGATACTTTTGTAGTAACAGTCCCATTTGGTTCATGATTTACTTGGATAGATACATTAGAAGTTGTGCTCTTTTGTGATTGTGCACTTGATCCTGAAGCATTACTGCTGGATACACTGAAGTTAACAGTTTTAGAAATGCTTGTACTTCCTGATTCTAGGCCCAATGCAGGAAAATTTTCGTCTGTAACAGCAAGAGGCTGAGGTCTTATGGTACTACGAATTGTTACATTTCCTCTACCTTTATTTTGATTTAAGGTAGGTACAACAGGTGCAGTATTACCCAGTGTTGGAAATTCTTCTGTACTCTGTACATCCACAGATGGTTGCTGTACAAAAGTAGGTTCGTTGTTTGACATAAATACATTTGAAGTATTTGATGGACCTGGCATCCCTCTTCTATTCATACGATTTTCACCACGTGGAGCTAATGTAAATTCTAGCTCTAATGTTCTTGCTTGCTTTGCAGCAGCTTTACTCAATTGTTTACTGTGAACACTTGCCTTATGTGCTTTAAGATCTATGTCAGTCCTAAAGACACTTGTAAATTTTTCCTCAACACACATTCCTTCTTCACATAAGAAATGTTCTTGTCTGAAATGATCTCTAAGATAATCATATGAGCTATAGTATTGATGTAAACCATCTGCATCACAAAAATGACAATATAAATGATCTCTTCTTAAGTGTCGAAATAGTTCATCATTATCCATATAACGCTGATCACAAAATTCACACAAAGGATGTCCTTTATGACTTTTATCATCCACATCTCCTTTTCTTCGATGCTGTGCAAGGTCGGACCTTGTATAACAACGTCTTTCATGGGAAAATATCTGTTATAAAAGAAATGAAGTACTTTTTTAATAGAACTAAATAAGTTAATAAATTAATAATAAATTATTATGGACAATAATAAATTATTATGGACTATAAAAAATTAAAAATAAAGTAACTTTAATGGACCTTAAAATAAACTTAAAATATCAAATAATAAAAACTTACCTTTAAATTTTCCACGCAAAGATCACAGTAATGTAATTCATGTTGATATCTCATATGATCTTTCAAACTATTGAAATTATTAAACACAGATTTTTCTTTGCAAATATAGCAAACATTAGCCAATAAATCATAAAATTTATTTTGAATGTCAGGTGTATCGAAATATATATTATATCGTGTATCTAGCAAGTCGCCTTTATGTAATTGACGAAAAGGTTTTATCAACTTTGTAAATACAACTTTTGGTAAGTCTTGACGACAAATAGGACACTCATTTTGACAACAAAGAACCCTCATTCGAGTACTACATTCATAACACACAGGATGTTCACACATGCCAATGCTATAAATATCAACATTTTTGTAACACACAACACAAGTGTTGTTATTCGTACTTTCAGTACTAACAGACATTTTATGAACTGAAATTTCTTTCAGAAATATCAACCCCTATCAATATACACTTTGTTCACAGAATGTAATAAATTTTTATTTTATGTTTATTTTATTCAATTTTTACTGAGTTTTCAACTTTTAATGAGATAAATTATATTATTTTCTGTACAGTCCTGTACAATCTGCAATAAAATTGACATTTCAATTTCGATATATTTATTCCCTATAAATATAATCTTAAATATAATCAAATATGGCTTTTACGATAGTTTTAATTAATTTTCAAATCAAAAGAATACTGTATACAGACTAATAAAGTACAACAAGAATTACAAAATCTGGTTAATATAATTTTTATATTTAACTAGTAGAACGAAGACGTATGTGTTCAGATGCTTTATAATCACTAGATTCGCGACAGAACAAATATTTTACTAAAAAGAGACTGTTTATTTTTTAAATATTAACACTATGGCAATATTTTGTAGTAAATTATTAAATATGTTTCAAAGAACTAGTAGAAGAAAATGAATAATACCGTCTCAAAATTGTCCCAATAAGCAGATGGTAAAATCTTACAATATGTCCCTGAAAGAAAAAGGTTATCACGATTTATATACTAGACTATGGTATGTATGTATGTATGTTGGTTGGTTGATGAATTCAGCTCGATGAGCAAGCAGGTTCCGGTTTCTTCTGTTTCAGTCATTACTATGTCAAAGAGTAACTAGATAAACTAGTGATTTGAATCTAGTTGTATTTGACATGAAATACAACTTAAACAAATATCAACATAATTTCCTTATCCTAAATCTTTGTCTTATGAAAAATTTTATTGTCTTTATATTTATTTTCATATTTTCAATACAAATAAAAAGTTAAAAATACAATTTTTTTAAAAATATTGAAAAAAAATCACGAAAATTTATAAAATTAAAAGTTCTAAATCGTACATGATTTTATATGAACTTACATATACACGAATGAACAATCTACAAACATTTTTCAAAACGGATATAGATTAAATTTTTTTATTCTTATTTTTTGTCCGAAAATTTTCGAAACATTTGGAATACCACATCAAATTTACAAATAAAAATTATTTTGTTTTACATTTTATCAAGACTAGAATATTTTAATACACACACACACACATATGTGTGTATATGTGTTAGATTTATCTACTTTTTATTCATATTCAAATAATTATTAACTTTTCTCGAAAATAACATTTTAGTTACTGTTCACCATTAAAAGCATTTCATATTTAACTCTATATATATTGCAAAAACTATGTATAATTTATAATTCATATCTTAAAGATTTCAAGTATGTATGGTGTTATAAAGTATACTGTCATGTAAATATAAAAGAATTGTCACTTAAAGATAAAATAATAACACAGGATAAAATGTACAAAAAGACTAATATTTTTTGATTGATTTTCGTATAAGTGCTAATCTTTGTTTATGTGCTTCTGTAACTGTGGCACGTTTATATGGGCGTACTTCATCTGTACCAAAACCAGGAATCCACATATTCCAATTTCTTTCTAAAAATTAGATAATAATTCATATAAATATATTTATTTTTATTATATTGAATAGTTATTTATGTAATTAATTCTTATACCTTACCTAAATGTAATTGTACATCTTTTACTTCTACAGTGTTTGCATGTCGATGCTTAGCCAATAAACATGCTGCATTTACAGTTGTTTCTACAAAATCATCTGCCAATTGTAATAACATTTCTTCTACTTCTTCATCTAATTGTTCAGTAGGATCTACTTCTTTTACTAAATCTTGTAATCTTGTCTTAGTCAAAAACTGGAATTAATATAATACAAAAATTAAATAAAACAGAATCTGCTAAAATATGATTTTTGCAATAATAGACATACCTGAGGAAAATCATTAAAGGAACTTTGTTGTTGCTGTGGTTGCTGTTGCTGCTGTGTAGAAGGCTGCTGCACTACCTGTTGTTTTGGAGGTTGTGATACAAATTGCGTCTGTTGAGATTGTGTCTGAGGTTGTAATATCTGTACTACTGTATTACCACTTTGTACATTAGGCACAGTATTAGATGCCTGAGTATTAGGTCCGATAGATTGTAAACTACCAAGCACAGGTGTCATATCAGATCCAGCATTAGTAGTCTGCACGAGAGCTGTTTGTTGTGACATTTTTTTTTATTTCTTCACTTATTATTTAATATTTATTAAGTAAATTCGAACATAGTTGCTTAAATTGGATTTATTGACTCAATATGCGACAAAAATACAAAATGTTCTTGAATAACATAACTCTCTAGACTAGCGCTTCTCCTATTATATGAAAACGATATGAATTTTTACCACTTGAGGTGGCGCATACGTCGTTAATATTTCAAATGTTTTACATCACAATGTCTTGAACTTTGCGCTAAATATTTCCCCATAGCGAATATCAAATTCTGTATCGCTCAGTTCAGTTTATTGTCTGTAAAGTAGAAGTAAATTTTTAATGTATAAATCTCTTCTAGTCGTGGGCGCTGTCATCGATAGATTCAAGATGGCTATGGTACATTGCGGAAGGGCAAATTCGAAACGTTTAAACAATAATTTTTAATAATATATGATATTAAATTGATTATAAAAAAATTCGGTTGAAGTTTAAGTCGTATATAACATTATCTGTTCTCATTAACATTAAAAATACCATACAAAAAGAACGAAAACCAAAATGGCACTTTTCGAAGCGAGCTGATTTTAGGAAGAACCTCCGATGTCAGCGGGGAGGATGATTTTCTTAGTTTTGTGGCGATTTCGCCAGTAATCAAGGTGAATTGACTGGCTGTAAGTTTCTTGATCATAAAGTTACCATGCTTAAAGGAATACTTTATTTTCATCACGATATCATATCATGCTGATAGAGTTAAAAAGCATGCTGTCATTTGAAATAAATGTTCTATAATCACCTTCTTAATAATTGGATAAGTTCTATATCGAATGTAGTTTTTATAATTTTATTTGTATCACGAAATAATTAGGTATACAAATGCATGTCACTATTTGAATTCACTTTTTTGTAATAATGTAATTTTGTAAAGTGTAATAGTAATACAAAAAATAATGTTAGCAAAATATGCTCAGATGATTTATATTTATGGCAATATCTTTTCTGAAATTAATTGAATTATATAATGAATTTATTAAATAATTCTAGTCTTTTTTCATATATATATTGCAATAAAAAATTCATGTTACTTTTAATATAAATGTAGTGTCAATTTATTTTAATATTTATAATATATATTTAATATAACAAATTATATTTATGGTGTGTTTTAAATTTTATATTGTTCTAGTACAATTTAAATGTTAAATATGACTCCTTCTTTAAATCGAAAACGAAGCTCATCTGTAAGTTTTACAAGAGCTAAGGATGATAGCGAAGATGCTGCAGATGAAATTCATATATCTTTAGCACCATATATCCAAACATATTTGGCACACAGTGGACAAGGACTTGGATGTTGTGGAATTAGCCTTCCAGTACCATTTGAACGTGCAGCACCAAGATCTTGGTGGAATCCTAGATTTGATTCAGAAATACTTGAAGATCAATTTAAAAGAAGTGCCTTTCCACAAATTAGATTAAGATTCCGGTATTTAGAACAATGTTATGCATATATTAAATTTAATAGAAAATATATATTGGTATATATATTATTTTAGGTATGCCCTAACATATATCTTACTGGTTTCTTTATCATGGTTAGCATATTTTGTTGTAATTGGAACAGAATACAATACTACAACATGGCCTGTCATAGCAGCAGTTTTCACTGCTGTTGGAACAATGGTATCAGCAGTCTTATATTTAACACATACAGATTATTATAAAAGTTATGTGTTACCAATTTCATTAGGAGTTGCATCTATGCTTTGCATCCTGTCTTTACTTTTTCTCACAATAGTACCACCTTATATAGATGGCTTAACTCTAGTCGGGCATTTTGCACTATGTTCTGAGATTTTGTTATTGATTTACACTGTCTTGCCAATGCCACTATATGCTTGTGTGGGAATATCAATGGTATATTCTTTTCTATTTGAATTTTTGACTGCTTACCTATATGGTACAAAAGATGCAAGAGAGAAGTTTTTTAGCAAACATATTCTATTGAATACTTCAACAGAAAATGATGCTACAATAGATTATAGCAGAATATCAGCAGCTGTATATTCCTCTTTGAGGAATTTCAATAACAGTCAATTTTCTAATGTGATACACGATGACAACGAATCTACAACTACAAGTATGAAAATAGTATCGTATTCACAGGATTCAAAACTGTTATCTGCTCTTGGAATGAAATCAAATCAAGAAACTATAACTGGAAGGATATCTGGAGTTTTGAATGATACGAATATTTTCAAGAATTTAAATTCTACTGTAATATCAACGATAGCTACTGTTAATTCCACTATGAATGCTTCATCTAATGATTTAATCTCCAAAGGTATAAACAATGCAACTTCGATATTAGAAGAAACTCTATTAACTTACAAAAATGGTGAAATGTCAAATTATTTCTTAAGTAGCAACATATCTAACCGAACATTTTCGGATGATTATTTTTCTACGAGTCTTGGAATAAGAATCTTAATGCAGATCTGCATTCATCTGATAGGTATACATATTTTAATAATGACTTTTGTAAGGATGCGTGGTACATTTATGAAAGTCGGACAATCATTGTTGGTCCGGCGGCAGCTAGAAATGGAAAAGCAACTTAAAGAGAAAATGATCCACTCAGTAATGCCTCCTAAAGTCGCAGATTGGTTAATGGAAGAAAGCGAACGTGAAAGGGAACGAGAAGATTCATTAAAAAAAGGTTCGATACCGTCCAATAACACAGATATTCGCTCATTATTTCGACCATTTAATATGCATTCAATGGAAAATGTTAGTATCCTATTTGCTGATATTGTTGGATTTACGCGAATGAGTTCCAATAAGACTGCAGAAGAATTGGTAGGCATTTTAAATGATCTTTTTGAAAGATTCGATGATCTATGTGAACATCATGGATGTGAAAAAATTTCTACATTGGGAGACTGTTATTACTGTGTAAGTGGATGTCCTGAGCCAAAGCCTGATCATGCAAGATGTTGTATTGAAATGGGATTAGGTATGTTTCTCTTGCTTAATAAATTCTAAAAGTGAAACATTTATATAAAAAATAACGAATATGTATACTTTGATAGCCATGATAGAAGCTATAAAACAGTTTGATATTGAAAGAAGGGAAGGTGTTAATATGAGGGTTGGAGTGCATACTGGAACTGTACTTTGTGGAATTGTAGGAACCAAAAGATTTAAATTCGATGTCTGGTCTAATGATGTAACTTTAGCAAACAAACTAGAGAGCACAGGAAAACCAGGAAGAGTTCATCTAAGTGAAAAGACACTGAATTTCCTGAACGATCGATATCTTACAGAAGAAGGGGATTTAATAAATGGTATTAGCATAATTATTATACAGGAGCAAAAAAATATTTGTATTTACTAATAAAAAAATTGATAAAAGTATTTTTTATATTATAGGTATTAAAACATACTTTATTAAAGGTCGAAAGTCAGATTTTACCAACCAATTCATAATGAATATTACATCCCCAACAAGTATATCGCCTTTGATGCAATCGCGTCACCGTTTGGCCTCCTGTAATAGTCAATCTAAATCAAAATATCATTACCTCCATATGGTTACTAATACAAGTAATTATAGAATGAAAGCAAACTCTTTGCCAAGTATCCTAGATTCTGAAAACGGAGATACTGATACTACAGATGAAAAGGAGAATGCAAATAAAAGTCCAATATCTGTTGCCAGTTATGGAAAGAAAAAAGTACGGAACAAACCATGGAAATATTTACAACGACAACGAACTACTGAAGAAATGACACCTCTCGAAATGGAAGAAGCCAAAGCAATTATTGCCGAACGATCAAAAACTGAATCTCAATCGTACGAAGATCGCAATGGATTTAGGCAGGTCAAAATCGCATCAATAAAAGTTATTATTTTAATTTTCAACTACATTATCTCATTCATATATAAGTTGTATATTTTTGCAGAATACATCTCAAAATGAGATTGAAATGGATCCAAATCCTGTACCTTCTAGTCCTTTATTATCTGGTCAAGAGCCACTCAGTCGTGCCTCTTCTATGTGCAGTAGGAAAGATTCAGGAATTAGAAGTAACAGCAGACGTAGTAGTATACAGCAACAGGTATATTTACTTTATAAATATTAATAGACATTATATTAAAATTATTTTAATACTAAAATTTCAACAGCAGTTAGCATGTACCCCTTTCTTCTACAGTTGATTTTTGTGTTTTAGTTGTTTTTGATGAACGGCATGGCTCAAGGAGATTTATTGGCACACAGAGTGAGTGGTTATTATACTTCTAGTTCAACTTTAAACTCTGTACATGAGCCATCATCTTCAGTGCCTCCTTATCCATTTCCTCCAGCAGTCACGGATACCTTTGGTGCATGTTTTCACAAGTTAAGAAAACAATCTGATCTACAGTTAATCAGGTAAATAAATCAACTTTATTTTATATATTTAAAAGATATGTTACAGTTTGTTTGATTTTATTTTTCACGAAGGTGTGTTCAAGATAACGTAAGTTCTCAACGATCATATTTCGTGAAACCACCACTTTCGAGTTTGACTCTCTTTTTCAAGAACAAAGAAATGGAAAAGGAATATAGAGAGAATGCTCACAAGGTTAGCGAATGTATCAGTGGAAATCCACCTACTCTAGCTACCTCGAGATTTAATACATACTTTGATATTTTGATATCGGCGTTGGTTTACACTGCCGTTATAGTTTCGCTCCTTTTACTATGCGATCCAACGTTATATTATATGATTTTTTTTGTATGTGCTACTATGATTCAAATTATAGCGGTGTCACTTTGTGTTCGACAACTTTTATATCCAAATATGGTTCATGCAACATTGACACAGCAAATATTTAAATTCTTTTCACAATGGTACCCTTGGCATATTTGTGGTGCAGTTTTAGTCGGTTTACCGATTACATCAATTCTTCTTAATTACACATGCAGTAACTTCCATAATTTAAATAATTTTGAATATTATTATGGATACTTGATTTTTATTGGTTTAGTCCATTTTTGTAATTTTACACAGCTCAATTGTTGGATGAAAAACTTTTTGGTAACATTTATGGGTGTATTGTTTCTTTATCTTGTGATGTGTCATCTATCATATGATCAAAGAAATCTCGGTAGTCAATTTATTAACAATTCACTAAATTATTCACAATCCTCGATAAATAAACGTGTTATTGATTTAATTAAGAATCAACTTAATGAGAGTATTATAAAAGATGTATTTAATAATACTCCTGCTTTCTTATCAAATTTTACAACGGGGATCGCTCTTATGAGGCTACAAGAAGCGGAAATCAGATACCATGAAAGATTATACAATTCCGAGATCTTTTTAGATATGATACTTTTACTTTTGCTAGTTTGGTTTCTAAATCGTGAATTTGAAATTAGTTATCGGTTAAGCTTTCACGGAAACGCTGTAGCCGCACGAGATAAAAGTCGTGTACAATCTATGAAAAATCAAGCTGATTGGCTTTTACATAATATTATACCAAAATATGTTGCTGATCAATTAAAAACCACTGCTAAATATTCACAAAATCATAAAGCTGTAGGAATAATTTTTGCAAGTATAGTGAACTTTAATGAACTTTATGATGAATCTTATTTGGGTGGTAAAGAGTATTTGCGTGTGCTTAACGAACTTATTGGTGATTTCGATGAGTTGTTAGAAAGACCGGAATTCTCAAATGTAGAAAAGATTAAAACTATTGGTAGCACATTCATGGCAGCGAGTGGTTTAAATCCACAAGTTAGACAGCAAAGTGAACACGAGTATATGCATCTGTTTCAATTAGTAGATTTTGCTATGGCAATGCATAAAGTAATAAATGATTTTAATCGAGATTTGCTAGGTTTTAAATTAATCTTAAGAATTGGCTTTAATTATGGAGACGTAACTGCCGGAGTGATTGGAGCAACAAAGTTGTATTATGATATTTGGGGTGACGCTGTAAATATAGCATCTAGAATGGATTCGACTGGAGTTGCTGGAAGAATACAAGTGGCTAAGAACGTTTTAGATATTCTTTCGGAACGGTACGAGTTCGAACCACGTGGTCAAGTCTATGTTAAGGGAAAAGATAATATGGACGTGTTTTTATTAATAGGGAAAAAAAATGATATTAATACAACAAGCACTTAAATGCTTTCAAATCTCTAATGATCAAGTTGATTGTTTATAAAATTAATTGTTTGCACGTTACACTTATATTGAGCATATGATCTTTTCCGGATCAGACTTCTAGCGATATTTCGATCTCGTTAAGAATTGTATGAATTTGTGGTATAACGTACCGTCAACGTTACACACGTTAAAAACGTACCTTACTCTTTAATTGCTCGCTCATTAAAGATATTTATTCTTAACGAAATATTCACTGTATTTTTTTACGTAATCTAAGAGCATCAGATGCGAGACCTACCAAAACCTACCTTTATAAAAAGTACAAAATCAAATCGATTTGAAGAAATTAAACTTTTCCTTAATTATTGTTGCGAAAAATTTATCGAGACAGATATAGTACGCATCTTCATTGTTGTGTGCTGAATGAACGAACGAACGATGCGAATGAGCGGATGAACGTTATATAAAATGACCGACCTTAGTCGTCGTCAACAGTTCCTAGAATAAAATGTGCGACTTATTAGGTAACTATTAGTCATCTCATGTGTAAAAAGCTTTCTAATATTTTCTTTTATTAATTCTTCCAATTCGTATGTGATTATACGATTTATTTTTTTTCATAACGTAAATAATTAATTAGAGTTATTTATATTGCAATTTAAACATGAAAATATATCAGATCATTTGCAAAATATGAATATTATAATCTCGAAATCCTGAATCTCAAAACGTTTTTTAAAACTTATATATTCAGAAAATTATGGTGGAGCTTTTATACTTATTCCAACTATGTGCATTCATTCAGTATGTGTTTTTTCTCGTTAATTTTTCGCACAGTGGATAGTGTACTATAGAAACCTGTTTTAAGGTTACTATAATTCTCGAAAACTTAGTACTCAATGATTCCATGCAAAAATTTGCATTCTATTTGAGTTAGACATACAGTAAAAATAAATTCATCGGTCTATCTTATTATAATATTGTTTCAGGATTTACTGCATGGACTACCGTATCAATAATAAAATTGTAGTTTATAAATTATCATTCCGTAATTTTTTAATCTAATATTTTACTTTATTTTATTTCTTTTTTTAAAATATTGGTAAGGTATATAACACGATATAAAAATAGTGAAATATTTTCGGCATTTTACTGCAGTTGTACTTCAGACAATTTTTAAAAGTTCAATACATGAAGCCCTTTTAATGTCCCATTTTCTTTTTAGGCGCATTCATACATAAGTATAAAAATTACAAATCATGTCTGGGACTTTAACAGTGTCTTATTCGTACTTATGTCGAAATATGTTAACAAATTTAGCAATCTTCATGAAAGTATAGTTACAAGTAAATTGAAAGAGTATTAATAGGCAAAGTATTTTAATTTCATTGTTACCTTAATGTGCGTACTATCGCGTGTTTTGAAAAAAGATTATTAAACTCTTACGCGATAACTGGCTCAACTAGTAATAAAATTTGAAGTTGTTTAAAAACTTATATTCTATTATAGTAATCTCAATAGTATCTTGTTGCAAAATATAATTCTTCGTAAATTTTATTTTATAACATATGTGATGTTAATATTATGGGAAATTGTTTATATATAACATGATATAATTTAATATCAAAATTTAGTATCTGAATTATCATTCAAATATATTGCATCATCAAAAGATACCAATTGGAGTAGATTTAGAATTTTTCCATACCTAATATTATAAATCTTTTAAATAGCATAATCTCTCTGCCGCGATAGTACTTCATTTTTTCAATATGCTTCACCATATTACTTCTGAATCAGAGATGATTGTCACATATTAAGTGATCATTCATATCTATAATTTAATGTATTGTCGTTAGTTGATGTGTACTGGCAATCATGTAAAATACTAATTCATTTTTATGTGATAACTACAGGGCTGCATTACTCACAATAATGAAATAAAATTAATTAACTAAAAAGAAGTAACAACGAAACATGGAAATATTACATGTTTGATTTACATATAAGCATCTGAAATATTGCATTCTTGTCAATTTTAAATGATAAATAAAAGTTGCATTTAATGGTGGTAACATGACCCAAACAAAAAATCTTTCTACTATTAAATGGTACCATCTTAAATAGCTTTATATACTTTCGAAATGCCTAAATAAAATTTTACAATTCAAACTAAATTCATATGGAACGTATTAATATACAGCGCTTTTAGAAAGTGCTGAAAAACGTACACGTTTTTCTCTTGATTAAAAACAATTATAATCAATTCGAATACAAATTTTTGTACCAAATCGTAAAATTATTTTATATAAATCAACAACTTCTGTATTATACATTAGCGAAATATTGTTTACAAAAACTGTATAACACATCGCGTGATTGTTGAAAACCATGCTGTTTTACATTGTTACAAAAGATTTTATGTAAATCCAAAGAAATAGTAATAAATGCGTAAGACTTAATATACAATGATTCGAGCGCTTATTTAGATTTGTTTGAAGTTTGTATCATCCAATATGCTGCATGCTTTTCTTTAATGACAAGTGTCTTATGTTACACGCGTATAGATACGCATCATACATACAATACATACATATACACAACAAACATACATGCACCCATGCATGCACGCACGGCACGCACACCCTGGATATTCGAAAAACAAAAAGTTTTCTGTATATGTTAAAGTCCCGAATCAAAAATAAGAGGGTTTCACAAATAAAACTAGGTATTATCACTTTTCCTGTTTGTTTTCTTTTTTCTTTTTTCTTTTTCTACAAGCTATTCACAATTGACGTTAAACGCATGTGTAAGCGTCTTTTAATTTTAGTCATTATTGGATATATAAGTAAATTAGTTAAGTGTAGACTTTCATCGCCAGACTGTATATACACGCGATCAACTTTATGAATAATTTAAAAACGAAGATTTATTTGAAATGAGCTTATTTTATGAAATCCTCTTATTTCAGTTACGGGATTTCCATAGTTATATAATTCAATCTTTTCTTGTAGGAAATCGTTTTCACGATGATTTATTACTATTTATTAATTCAGACCATATGCACGCAGTACGGTCATTTAATTGGAGTTTCTGCTACGTAGGTCCTGCAAACAAAGCTGCAAACCCGCTATCAGTTGAATTTTCAGATACCTCATCCACGCGTACCGCTTGTTGTTTTCCAAAAACTTCTATTCGTGGTAAATTATCTATCTTAACTTCCTTACGAAACAACTGACCAACACTTCGACCAATCAGCTGTAATATATATTGTATAACATATACATAAATAATATTGTATTACTCTTTTAATTTTAAATAATATATACTCATAAAATTTACCTGATTTGTGATTTTTTTAAAAAGATCTTTCTTTCCCTTTTCAACTTTATTTCCTTTAGTACTAACTACAGCCATCTTTTCATCGAAACGTTGCAAATCTGTAGGATTAACACCCGGAATTTGCTGCATTACTTCAATAATATTGGGGAATTTTGGTCGTAGGCATTCGTACACTTGTGCACCCAAAGTTATAAGAGAACCTTGATTTGCTTCATGCTGTCCATGAAGTTGCAAACCTTGAAGAATAGCTACCATAATATGAGCAGCCATAGCAGGTGTCAAACTACCATCAGCCGCTAATGCTCGTACAACTGGTCCAGTTAACATTGTAGCTTTCAAACTAGCATTTGAATCATTCCAAGCTAAAGCCCTGAACAAAATAAAAGATTTCCATTTAGAATTAATTTTACTATAGAATAAATATTATGTGGAACATTATAGTTAGATTACCCTAATACGCATAGAACGACACTGTGGCACGTAGAAGGATTACGAAGAACAACGGCTCCCAACTCGCTAACAACTTCAGCAACAATGCTATTTCCACGTGAAGAAGGAGGATCTATAGCCATGCCACCACTATCTTGTTCCATAGTATCAGGAGGTGTTGCATCGCTTGCAGCACCGCCAACAAGAGCTACTTTCAACACATCTACAAAGTCTCTTGTTAAGTTTCTATTTAACATATCAGCAATAACTTCTTGCGTATCAGTATTTTCTTCATCCAAACCACCTGATTCGAGAAGATGTGCGATATACTGCCACTTCGCACTTAACCTTTGGCACACTGTTAGAGAATGATACAATAATTAAATACAAATAAGAAATAAATAAAATAAGTGTTCTAACAAGAATATCCTACTATGTGTAGAAACATGAGCCAGTACGGGTACAAGAACGCTTTCGTAAAATGCAGGTGGACAAGAATATATAAACGGTTTCATGAATACGCGTATAATTGGTCTCAGTCTGTAATCTGGAATCATCTGAAAAAAAGAACATGTTAACGGAATATAAGAATATAAATTATATTGCTAGTTAAAATAAAAGGAAAAGATTGGAGAAGAAATTAATAAGGATTACCTCCATATTAGAGAAAACTGAATTGATAAGTGCTGGTGCTAAACCAGGTAACTGATAAAAATCTCTTCCAATCATGTGACATCCACTACCTAACATATGATAACATAGATCATGAATAGTACTAAGAAATGATTGCATTCGAACTAAAGCTGTAAATGAAGACTGATCAGGTTCAGAAGCTCGTTCATTATCATTTGTAGTATTTAAACCTAACAGATTTGCTTTTTCTGCTTCTAATAATTCATGAGCATTTTTATATCCCTAATAAAAATATATAGAAAACATTATATATTTTTCTATGTAAATACTCAATAAAAAAAATATAATTATTAGTATCTTTATTACCTCTGATAATGCTGCTAAAGCAGAAGGTGTGAATAGAGCATTCACTGTTCTGAGCAATGCAAAAAGTGTTGGCAGTACTGGAATTACATGTGGCGTAGCTGGATTTCTATATACCGGATTTCCACTTTCGCTGAGTGCAGCAACAAAACTGCCTCTTGCAGCACGATCTGGGTCATCAGGTATGGAGCATCGTTTTACAACACATAGTATTGTACAAATACAAATCATTAAATCACTTCGATTATGACCTGCCGGATCTTCTGCTATATTTTCAACTGGTTGACGATCCAAACCTACGAATCTCATCAATTCAAGTGGTCCTTTAAACGACTCAGATCCAAGCGCGATAAATTTTGCTGATGTATCACCAATTATTTCAGCAACAAATCTAGTTTGTCTTTCGTAATCACAAAAATGATTCGATATTAATAAAAGCGCTTCATAGAGCAGTGTAGTTTCCATTTTAGATAAAGGACTAGGTTCTCTTGCTAAACCCCGTACCATTGTATGTATTTGTTCAAAAACTGGAAGAAGTAGCAATGGATATTTCAAACTGATTTTAACCATGAGACTCGCCGCATGTCGCCTTACATTCTTTGCTGCTCTAGATCGAGTACCTTTTGTTTCACCAGGTGCTTCAAATACCAGAGCAGCAAAGATCTTTTCCAGGACCCTAGGTAAGATTGCCACTCCTGGCATAGCCATTGAACCAGTTGACATAGATAAAAACACAAAGAGAGCACTGATACAAGAAAGTAGCGCGGATAATAACCAAGGATCTTGTGGAGAATAACCGAGACATAATTCCAATAATTGAAGGCCAGTTTGTACGCTTGGTCGTTCATTAATCAATAGAATTCTTGATACAACAGAATCTAAGGCTTGTGCAAGAGCCTCCCATTCAAGATATTGTGGATCATTTTGATCACTTTGATATCGAAGATTCGTCATTCCCTTTGTTATTTTGGCTGTTAACCACTGTTGTACATAAGTAAATGTCACCAAAGGTGCTACCATTGTGGCTTGTCGAAATCCTTCCAATAAATCAGTTCTGAATCGATGAAGAAAAACATTGAATTCTTCCACTGAATCATAATCCGCAAGACAATATGCGCTCATTCCATTAGCTTGTCTACCTTGTGGATATGCCACTTTTATTAACTTTGGTGCTGTACTTTCAACGTATTTTGGTATGTAAGTTAATAACAGTGGATCTTGTTTTATTTGTTCATGTTTGAATAGCATTATCCAAATTGCATTTGCCATATGTGTTAATGTCAAGCTTGAATACATGGTAAATGTCAATACAGTATCTAAAAATATGTTGAAATGTGTTGGCCGAATACTGGAACTATCATCTTTACCCCAAAGTGTACACAATTGAGTTGCCATTCCAGTCAACACCTAAATTAAAAATTGACATGTGTTATTTATTATCCATTTTGCTATAAATAAAAAATTACCTGTGTCAGCTTTTTTAAGAATAAATAATGATTTTCATGAAATTCATTTGTTCCAGTAACAGGTGACAATGCTGTTGCTGCTGTATAAATGTATCTCAAAGCATCCTCAGAGAATAAAATCATTAACTGTTTTCTGTCCTCAGCTTTTCCTTTACGATTTACAATTTGTAGTAAACATTCAGCCGCTGAGCACTGAAATATTGGATCACCCAGTAAAAGACATAATATCTGTAATAATCTACCATCTTCTGCCATAACATGATTAATTGAAATCCATTCCACAAAACCAGATAATGTAGACAGGACTACCTATCATGGAAAAATAGTTTGATTAAATTTTGTATATAATTCTAAAATAATTTTATAATGAATTTACCTGCACAACTTTGCTATGTGCCGCAGCTTCAGAAGTACAACCTAAACTGTTTTTTTTTTGAAATTCTGAAAAGTGTTGTTCCATTAATCTTAAAAAAAAGCTAAAAATTTCAGCCATATTTGTGTTAAGTGCTTGATATATATCCTTTCTTCTTTGATTAGATTCTAGTGTTTGTAAAAGTGCAACATCCTCTACAAGTCTTAAAAACACTAGAAGCACCAATTCAGTTTGACTTTCACCCCTTGTACAAGTTTGACTAAGTTCAGTAAGCAACGTAGGCCATTGTTGTGGCCATTCTCTCTTTATCATTTCTACCACAACACGAGAAAGTGCATCTTTAATATGAGCTTCTTCTTGTAATAATGGTTCTGTACCTTCTTGAAGCAATTTCATAGCATTTTCTTTTATAAATATTTTTTCTGTTTGAGATATTTGTGTCCATCTATATTTGATACAATGTTCCATAAGTTGTAATCCAAAATGCCGAACTACTGAACTTCTATTTGGAGCTCTCTGTGCTAAATATAATCCACATTGTGCACATAGAGGAGATGATTCCTTGAATCGTTCACAAGCATTATATACTTCCAAACGTTGTTGTTGTGGAACATTTGGTGACATCATCACTTCTACTACTTGAGCAAGTTCTGCTGATATTTGGGCAACATTGCCTACTCCGAACTCCATTCCTATCTATTGCACTGTAATTGAAAATTATTATTAATTATGAATTTTTTACTAAATTTTAAATACATCAAAATAAAAAAGTAACAAATTTTTTAGATCATATATTTATTTATCTTAATTTATATGATTTTTGTATTGCTAATAATGTAATTTATGATACACAGTAAATGTATCATTCATTAAACATATAAAAAGTAAAATTATAAGAACTAAATATCTTCACATTTGTCTCAACATGTGCAATGATAAATTTTTTCATATGATGTAAACTTAATATAAATTTACATGTAAAACACACAATTGATATTCAAGTATTTGCCTTCTAATACATATGTATAAAATACTCTGTCTACATTATCTATTTCTATTTCAAATGATAAAAATCACTAACTATTTTTTCTATCTTTGAAGTACTTTTCTGAGTACAATATATCAAGATAAAATAATATTCAATGTCAACGAATATATAATATTTGTATACGGTGTGTAAATCTTTGTTTAACGATTAAAATTTCGAAAAAATAAAATCGTGAGGAAAATACTTAAATTTCACAAAATGACATTCTTTCAAAATTCAAATTCACAAATAAAACAAAGAGAAATAAACGTGATTCGTAAAAGATATCGAAGCCCCGTGCGTGATATAAAAATTTACAGGGATTCTTAAAAATTTGGAAAGAAATTACATGATGTAAAATTGCATAATTACAATGCAAGAAAAACACGAGGTGAAGCAGCTTGTAAAGTACGTGTAGCATGCCCTGGTAAGCATGCCTTGACAGAAGGTACCTACCTCGTAACGCGATCGTAGATCGAGAAGGATCAAAGATACACGTTTGAAAAAATTCTGTCAATACGGCTTGTCAATTCATATCTGAAAGTCGGTTAAGGAGTTAAAAATTCGCGGTGTGTACAAGCGGTGATTTTATATTTAGTCAAAGAAGTCCGCTTTCAAGGGATATGCGGCACGTTGAACGATTACATATAGCATACGTAAAATACGTACTGCCCTCTAGAAGTTTTAAATTCGACCTAACCTCACCTTATAACGCGTGCATGTTTTTTATGTTTATACGAATCACAATTGTGATTACAATGTAATGTTTTTTGTCGTAATTATATTACAAATAAATTAACAAACTAAGAAAGAAAAAGTCTATAATATTCATTTACCTTTCATATATATTCGTTGAAATTTTTCTGACTGTGACTTCTAAATTAATTTAATCTAGAAAATTTTAAAGGTTATGCCGGTGATCTCTTGTTGATTGTAATACAAACTCACCTTTTACATTGAGAGCAATAATACGAATATACGATGGACGAGGCTTTGACAACACCACCTACATTTCAACTGAATTTTTCTAAACAAATATATTGTATTGAATTATCTCCTTATGAATGGTCTCAACATTTAATTTGTATTGCTCTAGCGGAAGAAATTGTTATTGGTACTATTAAATTTCAGGTAAAATCATCGAGTTTCATTAATGAATATTCGTGCGTATTGAATTTTGTGTCTAAACTGTACACGTTGTATTCAATTGATATTGTACTATAATATTATATAAAATTATATATTATAAGATAATTTTATACTTACTTTTTGATAAAATTTGAAAATATACGAATAAAAATTGAATAACAGTAATATTCTGTTAATTATGTTTGAAAAACAGAATCTTTATAATATATTTTTTATGAAAATGTTAATTAATGTAAAAGACAATTATGAAATATAATAGAATTACAAGAAAATGTTTGTTTGTGGATAAATAATAATAATTATTATTGTTATTATATGATAAGGATGAGGACGAAGCAGTAGAAGATATGGCTTATAATCCTATTAGAACGTTTCGTCATGATACTAGACCACATGCTATTGCTTGGAGTCCAGAAACCTGTTTAAGTGTTGTACCAAAAGTTTTAATGTTTTGTGTTGCTGGAGCAGATTTAAAAATAAGATTATACACCAGTGACATGAATGATAATACTGTATGTGAGGTAAGATTAAAGAGTTATGCTAAATGCAATTTATTTCTTATGAACATATGCATTAATTTTGATTTTAATATAAGATGGAAGGGCACAAGGATTATATAAATTCAATTTGTTATGAAACTGATGGTGGAATATTAGCTTCTGTGTCTGATGATCATACTTGTAAACTTTGGGCTGTAGAAGAAAATGAAAAATGTATATCTACATTTTATTTAACATCTCCTGGAATGAGTGTATGTTGTCTTTCTGAAAAACCTGGTAAACTACTTGTTGGAGAAAAAAATGGATTGATTCACATGTATGGTATACGAAGTCAGCAAGCAATTATGTCTTTAGATACAAATATTATTCCCTTAATGTCAATTGACTGGAAATCCAATCCATTAAAAGTTGCAGCTATGGCAGCTGGAAAACTAATTTTATGGGACATATCCAAACCTAGGTAGGTAATAAGACTAAGAAATGAATTTAAAAATCAGTTAATGAATAAATCAATAATTCTATATTTAATGATAATTTTTCTTCCAGTCCACCATTAGAATCAAAACCTCTTCACATTGAAGGAGGTTCAATAGTAAGGTTTTTACCTGCTTATGAAAATTTTGTAGTAACCATAGGAAGGCCAGACAATTTATTGAAGGTCACAAATATAAGAACTGAACAAGAAATCATTTGTGGTCAAGTAAAATTAATAGGTGGAATAACTTGTCATTATAAATTACCTTATGTTTGCGCAACAAGTGATAGAGAAATTCGTTTTTGGAAAATAAGTTCAAATTAAAAAGTAATTAAAAAACAAAAACATTTTGTTTAAAAAAATATCATTATATTTCTATAAATAAAAATATACTATTTGTAATTGTAATTGATTTTTACAAATAAAAGTCTTATTTTCCTACTTTATTTGTATTTATTTAAGAAAATTGCATTAGCAGTTAATTAATAATATATTACATAACAATATATTATATTTTATAATTCACAAATAAAATAAATAAATGATTTAGAAGTTTAATGAATTAATAAAAAAAAAATCGAAATTCAATTAAAAAGTATAAAATAAATAATATTCTAGTAGGTATGTCTAGACTGTTGGCTATCATGAATACATAATGCGGTGTTTATGAAAAGATTATATCGAAAATGAAATACATGTTTATTTATGACATAGCGTTCAACCACGTTGTTGAAATATTTTTCGAAAACTCATCTTTAATAGTTTCATCCAATAATTTGCTACATAACTCATTTGCTTTGCCATATACCATAACAGGATTTGGAACATGAACTAGTTCATTGAGAATTTGTTTCTTCTGTGTTTTTAACACATTTAGTTCTTCCATTACAGAGCTTACATCTTGATCAGTTTTACTTTCTTTTTGTGCTTTACCTAACAAAAATATCAATATTAACCTTTTTTTTAACTTTTATAATAATTATTATTTAATATATATATCTTCAATTATAAAATAAGTCTTTTTTTAGTTACATAATATTTCTATAACTTACATTTTACAGAAGCTATTTGATTTTCCAGTTGATTAATTTCATTTGTTACTGTCCAATGCCTCACTACTTGTTTATTTAGTGCATCCTGAAGTAAATGCTCAATCAAATTAACATAAATTTGTACATTATTATTGACAGGTTCTTTGTCTATATTGTATATAAACCAATTTAGAAGAGCATAACATAAATAAGCTCGCAAACTAATTGATATAAAATGTTCAGTTCTTGTATAAATGCTCATTTCATCCATTACACTTTTAATATCTAACTTTATAATAATTTCAATTAAGATATAATTTTTTAATTCTTTTTGATGTAATATTTCAAATTGTGTAATTGAATGTAATGCAGTGACAATATGTTTTAATTTCTGTTCTTTTTCAGTAGAGGCTATTGCTAGTGCAACTTCATGACCAACTATCAACCATAACTGAAATTAAAAATTAATATAGAATGAATGTTTAAGAAATTAACTATTTTAGATTATGCACTTACCATTCTTTCATTGTCTAAAATATTACAAAAGCTATTTTGACATAAATCAAAATAATAACAAGTACAATCTCCACAAATTGTTTCTAAAGTTTGCAATAAACCATAATTTGATTTTCCGTCTATCCACATTTGAATCATATCAAAACTAACATCTTTCTCAATCACTTTTTCAAGTTCTTCAAAAGTTAATAAATGTATTTCTTGGTACTAAAGATAAATATGTTTAAAGAAATAACAATTTGTTAAAACAAGGAGACAACCAAAATCAAAATATAAATGTTAACAATATACCTTAAGATATGAATATGTTGCTATTATATTTCGTGCTGCTCCATAATCTGAATTTGTGAAAGCTGCAATTAATGCTTGTTCAACTACAGATTTACTTAAAATATCATCATTGCATAAAAGAGCGATTTTAGCTGCTGTTACTAAAGTAAGTGCATCTTTACGGCGCGCAAGATATTTTACTGTATCAGAAAATTCTCCTAATTTAGCAGAACTAAAAATAAAAAGAAGTTTCTTATATTTATTCTACGATAATTTTAATACGTTTCATAAGTAGCATAATTTTACTACTTACATGTATGCTGCTTGCTCAAAATTACCTAACTTTACACTATATTGTTCCCAATGTTTTAAAATTTCTGTTAACACTGGATCATCAGATTCAAGTTTGCATCTTGCAAGAATATATGCTTCTTTATATAAATTGGCATCTTGAAACACTTCTATAGCTTTGTAGGTTTTATGTATACAAAGTAAATATGATACTGCTTTATAAGGATTGCCTTCTGTTACTAACTGATATGCATACAATTCACACATATCTTTCCACATCCTATAATGTATTACTGTTGGATTATTTTTATAGCGATTTCATAAAGTAAAAAAATTATAAAGTTTATAATTTTCAAGCAAATTTATAAAGTGAAAAAATATAATTGAATTGCATACTTCATGGATAAACTAGCTGAAAGTGAAACGAGAAAGTCATTAAGGCGTTTCTCTTTTGCAGCTTCTTCTAAATTTTGATTAAGATTATCACACCATACATCCATTTCTGTGACTACATCATATTTATTTTTCTCAGCATGTGCACATTCTGTATAGTAATAAAAAATAAAATAAATATAATAAATAGCTCAGTGCAATATTTTTATTATAATAAGAAATAACTTACTTTCATTAGTTAAACATGATACAAAATTCTCTTGTGCTGAAAATAATATTGGTATCATATGATATGAAGTGTCTTCCTGAACTTCTTCAATATTAAAATTTTCGTTTTTAATACTTTTTATAATATTTAGAAGAGAATCAAGTAAGAGTTCTCGCTCACACGTTACTTTAAAGCTTTTTGAAAAATATGATCGTTGAGATTTTTTACTTTTTGGTTCTGTTGTCACCACTACCTTTGACTCTGAAATGATCAATGAATATTTATTATTTCTATCATAATAATATATTTTTAATTATATCCATTAACACTATGGTTATACTTTGATTAATTTGGCAAACATCTAAAAGTGAACATTCTGAAGTAGCTTTAGTTAATTCAGTTAAATTATTTTCAATCAAAGTATTAGCAACTTTATTTGATTTATTTTGTTTCTTTTTAGTTTTGTTTCGTAAACGTTCATAGACTTTTTCTTGTGGCAAATTATATGCAATTTTCCATATTCGTACTGTGGAATCTGCAGAGCCAGTTATAATATAATCAGGGTTTAGTGGACTCCACATACAACAAAGTACTGGACCACTATGTCCTGTATAAGTAGCTATTAATTCTTGTGTTTCAACATTCCATACCTATAAAAACAATACTAATATATAAATATTTATTTTTACGAAAAATCGTTGTATTATGTTATTTGTAATACCTGTGCAGTTCTATCATAACTACCAGATATTAGATAACCACTTATATATGGACTCCATGCTAAACAAACAACATTTTGAACATGTCCAGTTAAAGTTGTTACAAGTTCATGTACTTTATAAGTATCACATTTTTCTTTTAAATTATCGTTGTTACTCGAATCTTCTAATTTTGCAAAATAATCTATAAAATTAGATAAATCGAAAATAAGTATAGTACATGATTCAAAAGCAACAGCTAAATAATTTCTTAATGAAGAAAATGTTATGTCTGTTGTTGTACTCTCAGGATGCCAGGCCAAGCAATGCACTATTTTTGAAGAAAACTTAGCATACCCACAGGCTTCAAATTTTCGATTAAAAAATGTAATTGTTCTAGAAACAAAAGTAATTATATTTTCATGGGCTTTATATAACATACTATTTAAAAACATACCCATTTTCAAATCCTACTGCCAAGTAAGAAAAATCTGGTTTCCAAGAAAATTCTGTACATTCTTTCTCTATAGATTTAGGTTCTGCATAAAACAAATTATCATTACAAAAATATTAAATATAGTATAATAATATTATAATAATTCATTGATTAAAAAATACAAGATACTACCTTGATTTGGTTTTTCTACATCATAATATACAAGTTCCTTTTCTCCACAAGAATACAAAACATATTGTTCATTTTCTGGATTTGGCCCCCAGCTAAGAGTATATATTGTATTTCTATGATATTGTCTGTATAATATAGGTAATTTATTACTATTTGTATTAAATACACCTACTCGACCTTCTTCAGTTGCATATGCTAATAAATTTTCTTTTTCAGGATGCCATGATATCTATGGAAATACATAATTATATTAAATAATGAATTTTTATAATTTTAAAAATAACTAAAATGTATATAAAAATATGAATTTTGTTTAGAAATATATCATTTTTAAATTATTATATAAGCTTTACCGCACGGATTTTCCCCTTAATTTTTTGCCATAAAACCATTATATCAAAAGTTGTATCATGTGCTTCTGATAAATTCCATAATCGCAACATTGCATCTCCAACTCCAAATGCAACATGTGAAGTATCTAATGGGCAAGCAGCAATACAATAAATGTATCCACTTTGAGTGAAAATATCATAATCTATTTCAACATTATTTTCTTTTATTCCGCAACAAATAATTCTTCGATCTTGTGCCAAAGTCCAAATTGTATGCCTACAATTTATGAAAACTATTTTAATTTATAATCATAACCAATCATAAATTTTTCAATTTTATAATTTTATAAAAACCTTGGTTTTATTCTCCAATTTTCTTTGGAAATGTCTTGAATATTTGGTACATGTGCAATACAAAACAATCCTCTGCCATGATATCCATGTATTAATTTGACATTAGGTTTGCCATTTGTCATCATTGATAAATCCCAAGAAATTAATTCACCCCAAAACGAACTTGTCAGTAATAATTTAGGTTCAATCCATTTAACTACAACCCAATTACCTACAGAAGCATTTAATTTGCTTCTATGCTGATGAGAATCAAGAGGTTTTCCAGGCAATGAAATTTTCATTTCATAACGTCCATCTCCACCAGCTTTCCAAATGAATACTGATCTATGTATTAGAATTTAAAAATATATTTGTTGAAATTACAAGTACAAGCAATTGCAATATTTTTTCAAATTACCTATCTTTCCCTCCTGAAGCTAACAGTAAATCCTTACTTAAAGATTCACTTAAAACATTATTCTTTGCAGGACACCATGATAAACTAACTATTTCTGTATCATGGCCTCTAAGCTTGTAAATTATTTTTCCTTTTCCTTGAAAGTTAATAATGTAAATTAAACCACTCTTAGATCCTACAGCTACAAGATATGAATCATGGGGACAAGAAGAGATACAAGTAGGTATCACTTTCCCTAACAAAATTGAAGAGATGACATCAAAATGAATATTCCATGATAATACACAACCATCAGAAATTGCTGCACATATAATATGTGGATCTGTATAAGACCAATCTACACCTATTGCTTGTTTATCCTAAAATCAAAGATTTTAAATGCAATATAATTATTAACTCATATAATATTTATTAATATTGAAACTTACAGTTTCTAAGGAATGAGTATAAGTTGTGGATAACGTATCTAAATCCCATACTTTAATTATATTATCATCTCCTGTAGAAGCTATTAAATTAGCATTTACTACTTCAAATTGAGGAGTAAATGCAAGAGATGTTACCTTTGATTTATGAGCATGGTTAATGATAGAATATTGTAATATTTCATTATTTTCACTAGATTTAGCAATAACAATAGCATTTCTGGCACCCCATGCTACAGTACCATTAAAAGAACAAGCAAGAATATTACTTAAATACCAGTTTGGTGAGGGTGGTAATGTTGCCTCATTCATTTTTATAAGCTGAAATACAAATGAAAGATGTTTTGAAATAGAATACGAAAAAGTAAAATCACGTGTTTATAATCTAAGGTTATTAGTATTTTATTCAATATTGACATTAATTAGTTTCAAACGAACATAAAATATTTACACGACATGTAAACAAATTTGAAATATTTGTATAGGAATATATATATAGCTTTTTCAAATATCTTTATTTAAGCAAAAAGATCAAATTTATGATAAAATAATTTGCCGACTTCAACAAAATGTTTAGAATATACGCAATACAGATATTTAATTGCACTTACTTTACAATATATAGTTTTTTAATTAATTAAAAGGTTAATCGTTTTACTAATTTGGTGTTTATAGATGTTCTGAAATTTCATTAAGAATATGCTATGGCGCCTTCAGATATTCTACCGACGTCACTTACATAATGTTGAAAACACCTTGAAACATTCGGTATTTCTTGTCATTATTCATATATGTATATGAATAGTTTTATATTAAAAACTACACAATAAGATTAGTTCTTTTGTCTGTTATTTTTATTTAAACATAATTGTTCTGTAGTTTTTAATTTAATATTTTTAATGTAGATACTAAAAAATATAAAATACTGAAAAACTAATCACAAATAAAATGGTTATTGTTACTATTTTAAAATGTTTTCAATTATTATTGAAATATCTAATGTTTACTCTCAAAATTAAATAAAAAAATATGAGTTTATCAAAAATTCTTTAATGTAATATAATTCAATGTTTTGGCGACTTCTATGTAAGTATTTTCTACAGAATACGTAATGCCCATCAAGAAAAACTTTACCAATCAGTCACAGTTGAACATTTGTTGTCTGTTCTGTGCGTTCTTATATTATATTTTTCCGTAATGATGGGTTAAATATTTATTCTAGTGTTATTTTTGAAAAATATATGCTTCACATATTAAACTATTAATTAATGTTTTTGGAATTTGTTAAAAAAGTGATATATAATGAAATAGTTAGAATGAATATAGTATAGTGGTAAATAAAGAAATGTCATATTCATGTATATATAATTTTATCGTACATGTAATAATTAATAAGTACGGATTTGTTCGCTATCTAGGTTATTAACGTGTTCAAATAAATGTTTGACATACGTGCAATAAAATATTTGTTTCTTTCTTTTTTATTGTATCAGTGTTATTATTTATTTTATTTTAATTGTGTGAAGATTGATTTATAATATGATAAGAAATATGTAGAAAGACAAGAAATGTGCATTTAAAATTTTCATGCACATAACCTCAAATAAAATAATAATTATATAAATATAAAAATTTGTATGTCTATTTATTCGTAATCATCATTTATTTTCATAATAAATCTTAAAAAAAAATATTATTTCATATTTTGTAAATTTTAGATGTTAAACTGAGACACACTGTACTTTTGAACTCTGTGATAAAATGGAAGACAGATATAACACAATGTTAAAATTTGATTCGTAACTACCTTCGAATTAAAAAATATACATCAAATATATGTTTACATAAATTATATTTGTTGTAAAGACGTACCGAAAATGTCATGGTACTGACAAAATTATATTAGTATTTAGTAATTAAAGATAATGAATAAAGACATTAATAAAAGTGAATATTATTTATCTATTCTTTGCGAGGAATACTTCGTTTTTATGACAGAAATTTTTGTATTATCATAAGTGATAAGACTAAATTAACTAATGTTCTTATTACTTGTCGTTTCGTGAATTATAGTATATAAAATAAAGTAAGTACATACAGTTTATTTAAGTTAATAAAGTTTCTATTAAATTCAAAATCTTATTTTAATTGAAAACTAAATTTTCGATAGTATTGAATTTCTGCATATTTAAAAAAAAATAATGAATAGCTTTTTTTGGCATTGACATTAATCGTGAAAATGTGATATACGAATCACATGAATAACTGTGACTAATATATCTCAACTTTATTCATAACGATGAAATCAGTTTTAAACAGGATGACACATGATAATATTTCATTATTGTACAAAGTAACTCGAATAATAGAGTTAATATAGTTTAAATACACAAAGTCTATTATATGAAGCACTTTTTTGAATTTTATAATATTGTTCTGTCTGTTTTATTGTCATTTTTCTTTTAAATTCTTAGAATGAAGGCGCAGTTCTGCACGGTCTTATTAGTATGTTCTTTTTCTTCTGCGGTCTCGTTCAGTTTTAAAACGTTATTCAATTTCAACGGAAAGCCTGATCCGAATGACGGACTCAACACAGTAAGTAGAATTTTTTCATTGAAAATTGATTATTTACAAAAAAATTTACATGTAACGATTTTCGTTCTATTATGAAATTTTTATCTTTTTAATATTCGTCAGTAGCAAATCATGTTATTTTTCTAAATTGTTACATGAATTATATGTTTACTAATTATTTCTTAAATTAAATTTGGTCGCAATGAGATTTTTATGTGGTATAATATAAAGATATACTATTGAAATAAAATAAAATATTCGATTTTTTCATAAAATTATTATTGTTATTTAATCTTTGATGGTGAATAATGGTATTCATAAAATAATGTATTAGAACAATGATAAATATTAAACATTAATTTATGCTGCGTTATTATAATTCGAACTATATATTAAATCTTTTGAATAGAGTTTCTTAAGATAATTATTTGAAATGAAAGTACTTTTATTATTTTTCACGTTAATTGCAATTTTCTATTGCAGCTACAGTTGATAAGAAAAGAGGGTTATTCGGCTGAAGCCCATGTAGTATTGACGGACGATGGTTATCTCTTGACGATGCATCGGATTCCAGGAAAACCTAAAGCATCCGCGATTTTTTTACAACACGGTGTATTGGGTAGTTCTGCAGATTGGGTTATACTTGGAAAGGAGAAAGCTCTCGGTACAGAAACATGCGGATTATTTAGCAAAATAACATTTATTTTCTAAAGTTAAATTTAAAAATTGGATGAAATTAAATCTTTTACTTTTTTTTAAATCTTACTTGTAAATTTTAATTCATAATTATTTTATATTATAATCTTTCCTTATTGTCGCAGCTTACTTATTGGCTGATCAGGGTTATGATGTGTGGCTTGGAAATTTTCGTGGCAATACTTATTCCAGAGCGCACATTTCTTTGTCCTCTGATGATCCAAAATTTTGGAACTTTAGGTATTTGTAAAAAATGATTTTTTACGACGATTAGAAATATAACGAGGATAATGCCATATTATAAGTAGTCAGAAGTATATTTTAAAATGTTTGCTAATAACAATATTAGGAAACTATATATAGTAATAGTTTCGCTATTTTTATATAAAGACAGAATCTTGTGTGACAAATATTAATAAGTATATTTTTATAACAATAAATACAAATTAGCTGTCAAGTTGGAATCTTTTATGTTATTTTTATAACAATATGTTTTTTCAGTTGGCACGAATCAGGTGTCTATGATCTACCAGCGATGATTACTTATATCGTGAAACTAAAAGAAGACTTTTTGAGAGCGTATATTGGATTCTCCATGGGTACAACGTGTTTCTACGTGATGGCTACCGAACGACCGCAAATAGCAAGACTGTTGCAATCAGCGTACAGTCTTGCTCCAGTAGTGTTTATGAAACACGTACAATCTCCTTTACGGTATTTAGCTCCGTTTGCATATGATTATAAGGTGAAGAAATAATACACAAGTAATTACAATGATTCTTTCGATGTAACATCCTAATTCTTAATGTAATATCTTCAATCAATTTTCAGACGATTTTCTCCCTATTCGGAGAAGGCGAGTTTCTTCCACAAAATACTCTTGTAAAATTCTTATCAAAATATTTGTGTAATTTTAATTTTTTGGAAAAAAAAATTTGTGCTAATTCGCTGTTTGTTATTGTTGGATTCGACAGGGCGGAATTTAATTATGTGAGTATATAACAACTTATGTAAAAATGTATGTTTGCTACACTAGTTTTTAATTGTTTATGCAAATTTCGAATCGTTGTAGACACTGTTGCCAACGATCTTGAACCATACACCGGCTGGTACGTCTTCAAAGACCTTGGTTCATTACGCCCAAGCAATAAAATCTGGAGATTTTAGACAATATGATTATGGTAAAAAACAAAACATAAAGATTTATAATAATACTCAACCACCTAGGTACAATTTATCGAAGATTACACTACCAATAACATTGTTCACTGCCAATAACGATTGGTTGTCTAATCCTATTGTATGTATTTAAAAATGTTTAATGTAAAATAGTTATTTAAATATTTGCAATATTTTCAATCGATATCTTTTTTGTTACTGATTCATATTTTTTATTTAGGATGTGATGCAGTTAACCAATGAGTTACCACAGCAGCCAACTATATATAAAGTGCCATTTCAAAAATTTAATCATATAGATTTTTTGTGGGCTATAGATGTACCCACGTTAGTTTATAAAAAACTACTTGATATGATATAAGACAGTTCCTGCAATATTAGTGAAATAACTGATATTTAGTATTTCATATAGATAAAAAGTAATATCTATAAAATAAGAGACATTTATCTCTAGATATCTAAAATAAGAGATGTTTATATTTTATAGATACTTTCTTTATCTTGCAATTATAAAAGTATATTAACAGTATTTTATAATATAATGATTTTGGTAATATAATTTATTATCTTTATAATTAATTTACAAATAAAATATTAAAAATTTAATGTAAAATAAAGTTCAAATTTTTATTAAATTTTTTGGAGACGCTAAAGTTTAATTTTTTTAAGTTACCAATGCATAAGTTTCCTTAAACAATAAACTTGTATCAAAATCAAACGATAACTACGATTAAGCAGTTATTAATTTATGAAGTTCTTCATCAAAGCGTGAAGGTTTCACGCTGCTATCAATGGAAAACCCCTACCCTCTGTTTCCATATATTTTATTCTTTGTGTGAGATATCTCGAATGTGTAAATGACTTTGGATGTGAATAATCTGGTCAGCCGATCGGTTCAGTGGTGCATCTTGAATATTAACCCAACTTAGGTATTTGTCGTCCACCAATGTTACGTAAAACGTATTGATGTCATAATCTACGGATCGGCCCACAAAGCCATGGCCTACTTGATGAAAATTTCAGGCAAATTTCTATTCCGTACAACAAAATATTACATCGATGTATCGAATAATAAACCAATTTTGCAATATCCTTTCAGGTATTTATTTGATTTCAATCAATCTTTCGATACCCTTATCAGTCATACTAATGAATATTACTTATTTATTTGTACGACAAGATTGAATAATAGACGAAAAGTAACTGATAAAGGTGTGGTCATCTTCAAGGTGTTCTCAGAGCATTTATAGACGAGTATTCTAGAAACCAATGTCGATAGATTCTGTCAATGATTGTGTAATGGAAAAACACTTGTGGCATCCGTGGGTCCCTCAGGGATACTTCAAGGATGAGACTTTACATACGCGCTTTAGATTTTATTATGCGTATCTGGACAATATCCTTATTGCATCACTTAGTAAAAACGAACATTTTCGATCTTTTGTAATCGCTTTTCCAGATCAGTAGGGGACCTTCAAGGCACAAAAGGTAGTGATGTTCGTTTCTGAATAGGGAGAAAAGTTTTTCCACTACGTGAAAAGCTCCTCAAGGTCATTTCATGAGAAAGTTGTCCCGTAACAGGATTTTCCAGATCAGAAACCATAAAATTCCTCAAATAATTTCTCAGAGTTGGACAATTCGGAACTTCTTTACGGTTGCTTCAGGCCCGTAAAAGTCGTAAAGCTGACATTCTTGCTATATACCGGTCACGTACCGATTCAACGACGACAAAAGAATCGTATTAAAGTGCATGTGTTGTGATCTACAGTCTGCGATCTTTAATGCATTCGAATGCACGTATTAAGTGGCTTATTATAACACACGATACCGTTTATAATCGATCGGTGATTCAGAGTTCCATAATCGAGTAACAGTGAACTTTACGTATACCCTAATTACGCGGCTGTTCCTCGAGTTTATTAATGAACATTATCCTTAAAAAAGAAACTTGATTTTTTAAACATTTCTTTAATCGATTAGTCATTAACTTCCTCTAGAAGCGTTTAATGTGAAATTAATAATAAAAACTAGCGGCAATACGCACCTGTGTAGCTATCAAATTACTAGCAAGATCCTATTTAAATGCAACCATAACCTTTTTAATCAAAGCGTAGCAGTCACATTAAATAAAGCTGCTCAGCCAATTCTTGACGTTCTAATTTGATTATTATTCATCAACAGCGATTATTAACTTGCCATTTCATTAATATTCACAAACCACAAATCGCAATGCAACGAAACATGATATTCATCGTTACTGACTTCCATCGTTATTTTCTTTAATCATTGGTAACCCTAAAATTTTGAAAAGAAACCATTAAACGAAGAAAGAAGAAAAAAGAAAAAGAAAAAAGAGTCAATATTGAACCTGTTTCGAACAAACGAGCGAAACGGCAGACAGGGAGCAAACAAGACGATTTTCATCGTACCATTATGATCGAGTCGTACACGGGCAAAGTCGCGAGACACACACGTGCGTGCGTAGTTGGTCGCGCGCTTGCGTTTTGCGGTGGCTCCGCGTGCGGCGAGGCGCGGCTAGTAATACAGAAAAGCCATGGGCCGAAGGAACAAAAGGAGCAGAAGGAGAATCAGGAGGAACAGAAGCGAGCTCGTCGCGAAGGTAGAACGCGCGTGTACCGGGCACTTGGTGTACCGTGTATCCAGAGAGAGAGAGAGAGAGAGAGAGAGAGACAGAGACAGAGACAGAAAGAAGGAGAAAGATAAAAGAAAACAACGAGCACGACTCTCGGAGCCTCGAACTCGAGAAGTCTTCGCGAGTCCGGCGAACCGACACACACCGCTCACCGATTCCAAAGTCCGCCGGTAGGCTCAGTTGTCTCCGAACCCCCGAACTGTTCGGATGTAGCTACTTTATAAGCTTATTTTACGTTTTTTCCACGCTTTCGAAACTCGCTCGTTTCGCCGTTGCTCGCTGCACTTTCGTCTCTCAATTCACTTTACTTTTCGCGTGCTCGTTTTTCGCGGTCTTGTGCGGTCGTCGTGGTGGCATGGTAGGGGCTCGATCTTGAAGAAGAAAAAAAGAAAAAACGAAAAAATAGAACAAAAAGGAAAAATTCGACGAACATTCCACGAAGGAAACACAACTGAGAGAAGTGTATTCTTGCTCCGTGGTCGAGGAATATTCGTTTTTGAAAATCGTTTTTTGGTTTTTCGACGGTCCGGACACGTTCGATCGCGTGCAGCCGATTAGAGAAGCGAGAAAAGGAAGAAGAGCACTGGAGCGGCGAAGAAATCGGAAGAAACTCGAGGAGAACAAGGAAGAAAATCTCGTCGTTTGGGCGAACGAACGATCGAACACTGTTAACACGTAAGCGATCTCTCTCTTTATTCCCTTTTCTTTATCGATTCTCGATGTATCGTTTGAAGGTGCCATAGTCATTATTAGATCGATCGTGTTCTTTCTCGATCCACTGCATCGATCATTTTCTCATTGCTCGTTTCTCGATTGGTTAGCAAACGTATCGCAAGCAGGTATACGCACGCAAGCCACGGGCTGCACATGTACAGTTATTTAATATTTATCACTGGCGACCTCATTTATTTTAAGTTATCGGGTATCGGTATTCCGCTCGAGTCCGCGCGCCTGTGCGCGCCGGAGCAACCATGGAAAAAGCTGATGCGAGAAATCGGATACAAACGAAAATAGTGGCCTGCCAAAGGCAGAAAGTGTAACGTGAAATCGTCACCGATATATACACGCCGCGTGACACGCTCGTAAAAGCGAATTTAAAGGTCCCGGCATATCGGTTGACTGACTGTGTGTGCGCGTACGATCTATCGCGCGACTCCATCGGTCCACGATCTGTATTAATCTATCCGTCGTATATCCGTCGTGATCGCTCGTTCCTTGTTACGTGGATCGCCGAATTCAAACGCAGATAACGGTAATTTGAAGCGAATGGTACAGCGGATCCCCGACCGAGAGAACATGAGGCGAGTTTTCATTGAAACTTTACGATCAACTATCCATGCTTGTCGCGACCTGATAGCGGGTCAGGTAAGGTAGCGACACCGTTGAATGATACGAATATTCGAGAAGTAGCGCTGCGGTGAAGATAAACAATCGAACGTGCGAAGAGTATTTCGCGAATACGCGTGAACTGAATTTGAAATCGGACTGTTTGCCGCGTTTTTGACGATATTCTCGGGGACCAATGGCGACATCTTCTTTGTTCAAAAATGAAGTAGTTAGGTTAGACGATCTTCTCAGTGCTTCAGGTTGGCGTGAATTGACTTGTTATTGGTTAAAATATAACGAATAGCGTTGCGTGACAAAACCATAGACAAACCATATGGAAGTGATACAGTTCATCACTTATTCGCAACTTTCGAATGAATGTGTGCTTTGTTGTCTTACCGTGTCGACGATTTATTCAAGTCAAACTGTGTAAAAAATTGCAAAATGAAATATGGATAATCAGAATCGTATGAAGATAAAATTAGTGTTGGTTAAAAAGGGGTTAGAATCTAAATAATGAAGTTTCTACGAAACGGATTTCTGGAGGTAAATAAAGAAGATATTTGTGAATATAGTTCCATGAAAAGTGGAATATAAGCTGCACAATGGTAGATGATAGTATAAACATTAGGTTACGAGTATCAAGTGTAACGATAATAATTAAATGAGTGGCATTGATAACGATAAAGGTTCGATTAATAAAGGTAAATAAAATGTAAATTGATATATGATACCGAACAGATCCGTGAATGGAAATACGTAAAATTAAATATAAATCATAAAATGGCGAATTTCAAGTTCAGTAACACTTGAAATTATACAAAGCGTATTAATGGCTGAAATTGTATACGATGTTACCGCAAATGTATTCTAACAGGTGTACGTTCCTTTCTTGAAAATAATAAAATATAGCATTTCAAGTTCAAAGACGCTCGAAATTACACAAGACATTAGCAATGATAATCGAATTATGAAAAGCAGATACTGAAAGGTAACAACGGAATGATATATAAAAATAGTAAACATCGGATAAACATTCAAATGAATTTAAATAAGATATATCATGACAAATTAGAAATAAAATATAGAAATTTATGTAGATATTAATAGCCAATTTATAATTATGAAGCAATCGAAGAACCAATGAAATATACACCGAGATTTTTCATTTCATTGTTACTTAGTAGGTTGTTGCAAAACACAATCACACTGACATTCTGCACTCGGTCTCGTATACATGTGTTGAAAAACGCGAGTGTTGGTAATTAATTGTTATATATGATCTTTGAGACGTAACTTCATCTAGTATTATAGGTATTATATTTACTCCTCGGAAAGACTGTCCTCGTGGTTGCATACTTTAGATTATGAACAAGGAAACACATGCACGTTTTTACGTGAGTATTATGCGAACTTTTCCAAGAGCAAAAGTAACGCAGTTTCGCAAAACGTTTTTATAAAATCATGACTGTAATTTGTGGAATTTTAATTATTTTACCTTTTATAGGAAATAGTTGAACTATGAGCTATGATTGATCATTTTCACGGGGAAAAAGTACACTCCCCCATTGTGATGTGCTTCTAATATAATGTCTAATTGTTTCGAACGTGACACAGAACAGAAGAATGCAAATGATCAGCATTATGAGCTATGTTTCTGTTAGACACAGCTGCACTGAATTATCTTCGTAAACTGTGATTCTATTCGGAATATTGAGATTCCAGTGAATCGAAAGACAGCTGATCGCTTTATCGCAGCTTCTGTATCTCTCGATCAATTTAATCAAGAAAGGAACAATAGGAAATAAATGGTATAAATGTACGGTATAAATACGATCGAATTGAATCGAATGATGACTGATCGACACCACTTGCTTTCGTCTAATTATACTCGCATAAAATGATTCGTCATTTCCATCGATTAAAATTTGATTTTATTGGATACCTTTAAACGAATTTGCACATTTACGAAACATTATTGGAGACTATAGAATCCGCGGTACAAAAGATTCCACGTGGAATATATTTGCTTATTACCAACTGAAGAAACATGGCAGCTTTGAAGCACAACGATGGGAACTCATTATACTTAAAGCGTTCACGTAAACTGCTTTTTAATACAACACGACACGGTACGTTTAACTCGTATAATTTGTATTTATTCAGATTACTCATGGAACACCATTCACCATAGACATTTAGTAAACATCACGTTTTTCTATTTTACGAAAATTTCAGATATATATGTATATGGTGTTATTTTACGAATTAATAACGAAACACAGAAATCAGCTAATAGAAGCCTAAATATGAACGATTTGCAATGACCAAACTGATTGAAATGGCTAAAAAGTATATTACATTACTACAAAATATTTCTATTGCTACTACCAAAAATGTGCTAAACGCATTTCCTTATGTCACTGTATTTTTTTAAATCGATCATTACTTTTGTTTTCCTTTCTATGTCCGTACAAAGTCTGACCAAGTTTGGCTAATCGGTGTTTACGTCAGTATCTTAACCTCGTGTCTCATTGTTCGAGCGAAGACCTTTGTAAAAGCGTTCACAAGAGTGCGCAGTCAGTAAAAGTAAAACGTATTGCGGCTCGTTTAAACGGATTTACGATCGTAAAAAATCGCGTTTTACACGCCCAACTTGGTCGAAAACTACCGAAAACAAGCTTATCCGTATTTAATTAATCCTTCTTTTTGTTCCTTAATTATTTGGAATTAATCGGCAAATAATAAAAAAAGAGAAAGAAAAAGTAAAAGAAAGAAGTATCAAACGCAAATGAAATGTTCTCGAAGTTCTTAGAACATGTATCTAAACATTGGTAAACGGTTACTGTATCTCGTATATACTCGTTTCTGTTGAAATTTCAACAAGTTTGGTCACATGACTTTTATCGAAAGATGATCGTCGTTGCATTACGAGATCGTAACTTCGAGTCTGGACACTGGCGTATAGTGTACGGGCTGCATAGTAGACGGTACGCTTACGCCTTGGAGCATTTCGTTGTGAAACGATTGAAGCATTTACGAGTCGATCGTTCCACGAGGACTTTCTAATCTGCCGTATATACGTACAGGGTGTCCCGCAAGGTGTGCCGCGAATGCTGCGAATGACAGATTCCTGAGTCGAAAACACAACTCGCGCCGCCTTTTCGCGACGGGCTGTAACTTTTCAGTCGCGATCTAACCTGTTTCTCAACCGGACGGTCCGAATCACATGAGATACGTGGATTTCGTTATCGTATACAGTGGGTGACAGGTTTATGTTATGAAAATGCGGTAATTCGCCTTCTTTTTTCACAATAATTTCCAATTTCACGTTTTGTTTTCACTAATCATCGTATTCGCTGTTTCGATGCGAAACAAAATATATCGATTTGTTTTCAAGGTTAACGACCACATTTTAAGTCAACAACAAATATGTTCATCATGAATAATCGTCAACTTTGCAGTCATTAACTATTTTACTTTTCGATTCGGGAATATCGTGCATTATAGATTTCTAACCTCTAGTTTGATTTCTCGCACGAAAATACCATAATTTCCGCGAATGTGTCGCTACTATCATCGATTCTGAAGGAAGTACGAATCGTAGATATTCGAATCGAATGTACGAGAAATTATGAGAGTTTTTCGCGGTGATTGTAAGTTATGCTAGTGATTTTAGGTTATGTTTCTTCCAAGTTACGAATGAACCTGTTTTTCCGTTTGACGGATTTATGACGGATTCGAAATGTGTGAATCTCGTTGTGAATGTTCGCGTACATGATCTTCGTGACATCGACCGTGCTTGTACATTTATTTCAATGCGTCGATATTCAATGCGAAACGAACTTGCATACGTCTTCAGGAATGCGGTACGCGGAATGCCATTCAGATAAGAAGCATTTTTCATCATACAGGGTTGGTTCTCCAAATTTTTGTTACATCCAACGATTTTAGAATTCGTTTACGTTTAAACGGTGTTAAAACATGCTTTGGATTAACAATTGAAATTATCGACATTAGTATACGACTTTAATATGGGATTCTCATAGACTCAGGCATTAAATAAATGTTCAAGATGTATACGTAATGACGCACAAAATTGGATTTTCCAAATCTTTGTAACCTTCAAATTTCTAGTCATTTCAATATTTCTCAGACTTCTCGTAAATTCTATTCCCCGAATTATGAATTAAGAGTTTAAATAACTCCTCAGCCAAAATACCGAAATATGATAATGTAATTTAAATATCAATTATAAAATATTTATTATATTATTATTTATTATATATTATCTAATATAATTTATTACATATTATATTATTACTTTCGATGTTTCGCATCTCGCCATT